CCCAGACAGTAGTTCAAATTGTTATAACAGGGATTATTTGTACAATGTGTGTGTGTGTGTACACAATTTCAATGCTTGCACATCAACTTGAATAATAGCTGCAGGACATAGCAAAATTCTATTCTAACAACATTAGACAACACAATGACAATCATTTGTGTTTAGTACAAATGTTTCAGCGATTGAATTAATGAGAGGCACTTAGCGCTTAAGGGAATATATTCTACATATTCGGCAAAACATGAACTTTCCATTTAACCATCAAATCAGACACTTTAATTACATTTTCATACTGTATTTATATTTTTGAGCCTTAAGGTTGACACTTAGTCACACCGTATTTATAGATTTATGTAATTTAAGAATTAAGATTGACAGCTAGTCAGCCTAATCATTATTTTCTACTTATTTAATTATGTTGACACCTCTAAATTGAGCGCAATGGTTTTAAATACGAATTTGTATGCGGTGAGTGTTAAAGCCAAGTCAAATTCATCAACGGCAGATGGCTAATTGTGAGCTTTGGTAAATTGGCTTCAGTCAGTTGGAAGCGACTTTTATTGAGTGCCAATCTTTGTCTGAGTGCTTTTATATGAACATTTAATTGTCAGCTGCAGTTATATTTACCATGAAGATGAACTGTTCAACCCAAATTTGACTCTAGTGAACAGTAAATTGTCAGGGTGTCAAAGCTGCATATTTATTTGCCATGAACCTTAAAATAATAAACAAATCAAAACTGAACCTTGAATAAAAAATACAAATAAATGTCAAAATGGCCATGTTATTCCGTACTTATTGTTTTTTAAATCGTCTGGCTTAAAATCAGTGTAAAGTGCTTGTTGACTTTAATGTGAGGCTAAAACAACTGTTTTTAAAGCGCTAACACATGAAATACGTTTACAAAAAGGCTATCACTTGAGTAGTGTCTCATTGTTCGTGGCGCGCCTGCTTTATAATTTTTCTTTTTTTAAATCAAAGTTTCCATTTTTTATTTCGTTTTTTTTTTTTTTTGCTTTTTGTATTTTGGCTTTATTTCGCATAATTTTTGCGCCCTTATGCGAGGCTCCAGCGTCGGAGCCTTTGAAGCGCCATTGAAAATCAGCCAAGCGCAACGCGTTCACATGTCAAATTGCAGGTGAATGTGTGTGTGTGTGTGCGAATGTGTGTGTGGGTGGGTGTGCACAGGTGTATGGCTTTCAACGGAGCTACACACGCTTAATTGTTTGTTTGACTCTGTGTCTGTGACAGACGTCCTTGTTTTTTCTTCTCTTTTTTTCTGTACGCCTCTCTGTCTATATTTACGCTTGGCACGTCGCCTTTTGTTTAGTTTTTACGTCTGGCCAAATCCGAAAGCAGCTCGTAAACTTCAGCATCAACAACAATAACACAGCCTAAAGGACAAACAACAACAGCAACTAAAATAAGGATTACGCGCAACAATAGCCCCATAAAGTCGTGTTTTATTTGGATGCCCTACAAATGCAAGACTTACGCGATGCCTTTTAAACAAAAAAATATATATCTAAATATATATATAACTTATCACTTATAGTATTTAACGGCAGGGTATAAAAGTTTCGCGCAGTCACAGAAAATTCTTCATTTTTTCTTGACTTTATATATCGCTTAGTTTTTTTAATTTCATTTTTTTTTGAGGCTCAGACAACTTAATGCTATTTGCTTTACACACTCTCTCGCACACACCCACACACACACACCTTACACAGTCCCTTCGGCATCTCAGCTCCAACTTCTGCCGCCGCCCTCCCCTCTGGGAACAGTGCCTTTGTTTGCCTTTCTTAACAACTTAAGCACGTCGTCTATATTGGTTTTCGGGCGCTACTCTTTTAAAAAAAAAAGATTTTGCTTCCTGCTTTTGCCTTTGCTTTGTGAAAATAATCACGCGCAGCTTGGACTTTTTTTTCCCCAACTTTTATTTTTATTTTTTGAGCATAGCTTTTCTCTTGCTTTTTCACACTTGGCTTCTTCCGCTTGGCGCCGGGCAAAACTCATAGTGTGCCTCACATCCCCCACCGCCACGCCCCCTCTATTGTTTTCTTTTAATTTGTAGCTGTGCTCTCACTGGTTGCTGTGGCCAATGCCTCAAATGCTCAGCCAGGAAGGGCCGGCCAACCATTGTGCGTTCATGTCTAACAGCGTATTAAGCAACTGAAACGCTTCACTAGTGCTTTAAAATTTGTGTCGAAGTAGTTCAAAGTTTTGCCTAAGAATAAACTGGAGAAGAGAATGAGCTTAGAAGCTGATAAAAATAATCGGTAATTGGTGCTTAAAATTATTCCAATTGATTAACGAATTAGTTGAATATAGTCTAAATTAATAGTATGCCAATATTCAAAAATAAAAATTGGGCAATATTTTATTTCGTTTTTTTTTTTTGTGTACTTATTATTCATGTACTTTCTTAAGTTGTTTCCATTTCTTGCCATCTTAAAATAGTTATGTCTTTATTTTTTTTAAAGTGATTCATAATTTACTGTCTATAAGTGCAGGCTAAATGCAGTCACTTCGAAACTTTGAAAGATTAAAATGTAGAAAATTAGAAACATTTGTTCTTTCTAACTTAAATATGTATTTATCTGGCTCCTGACATCTCTCCGATATAATTCGAATTGATTCGCAACTTTAAAGCTTGACAATAAAATAAAACTATAATTTAAAATAATTTATTTAAATATAAAATATAAATCGGAGTTAGTATCTAAGCTTATCGTATTTTGTCTTCCTTCGTATATGCAGCCTTTGAAGCTCATGTTTTTCTTGTAAGCAAATAATAATAGTACTAATAATCTTAATAAAGACAACTAAATCTTTTGTATATTGCATTCAATATTCTTACTGCTCTTCAGCTTCTGCAATGCAAACAATATGTGAAAAGCCTTACAACTATTAGTATTATTCTAGTTTGATTAGCACTACTCAAAGCAAAGGACTCAGAATAAGTACACTTATGACAGTGAAACTTAATTAACTCACTCTACTCACTCAGAGAGACAATCACACAAGAGATCTATATAGTCTTCGCATAATGGATACATCTATATACGTATGTATATCAGATGAGAGGAAGCAAATGAGTTTGGGGGAATCACGGTTAGCAGGTGGCATCATGGCATCATCCACATGCCACATGGACAGCGGCTAGGAGCCGTGGCATGCCGGATTGAAATGGTGCGCATGGAAATCAATTTACGGCTAACTAACGGCAAACAAAGCGGCTTCACATGAATGTGAACGACATGGCGCAAAACCAATCAGAAGCACTTAAGGCTGCTCAAAGAGCAGAGTGCCACACAGAGTGGGTGGCAGAGAGTGTGCGCTAGAGTGAGCCGGCAAGATTAAGATAGTGCCACAAAGAAAATGTACGGCCTGCTGTCTCTGGCATCTGTCAATGCTATTAACTTTTGTGCCACCCACGCACCCCAGTGCCCCCGTTGTTGCACCTCGACGACGACATTTATCCTTTGGCGCCTGGAATGTATGCAGCACTTTGTTGCTTAATTGATTTTAATGCCACGCGCACAGGGGCCTACAATTTGCCAATGCTCCAACGAGTTTCCTCCTCCATTCGAGTCGAGTACGAGTCGAGTCGAGTCGAGTTGAGTCTATAAATTGGCTTTTTCCTTTGCCGTTTGCCTTGTGGCCCAACTATCAACTGCAGCAGCTGCTCCACCCTCCACACTCTGCTCCTCCTCGTGTCCATTTCCCATTTGCCATTTCCGTTTTCAATTGCAAAAGGAAGCAGCAGCCATGAAAAAAAAAAATAACCAAAAGAAAAATAAGTCAAGAGAAGAGAAATGCCATTTATTGAATTGTATAAATTTTTGCACATTGACAGCGACTGTTTATTTTGCACACACACACACACACACACATGTCTTTGTATGTTGTGTTTTGTTAAGCTTTATCGCATTTGCATAGCAGCAGAGGCAGCAATTGCCATTGGCAGGTCAAGTGCTTGAACTGCCCTCGGGGTTCACTCATTTGTTCCTTTTGATTGCTGGCAAACGGAAAAGTGCTTTTTCTTTTGCCTTTTTTCATTGCTCTTATTTTTTGTTGTATTAGTAAAATAAATTACCATTTAGTGCTTTTTGCCACTTACATTGAATACACTTCTTACCCCTTTGTTGCGCCCCGAAGGCGTCACACATGGTCGGATGTTGTCCTTTGGTCCTGCCAAATGAAATTATTGCTGCAGCTTTGCATCCTTTGCCTTTGCCATTCCCTGGGATTATAACCGAACATGTGGGTGTGTCTCTCTCTCTCTCTCTCTTTCTGTGTGAGTGTGTGTAGACTTAGAGTGATTGTGCGGGAGAGAGAGAGAGAGAGAAAGAGAGAGAGTCTCTCACAATTGCAGCCATAATAAATTGTTCGCAATCGCATTTCCGTTTCTTTATGCGCTTCGATTACGTTGCGCTTGGCTTGCCCCAGCTCTTTGCCCCACTCTCTCGTAATTGAATATATAATTTTTTATTTTGTAGCTCCTTACACTCACTAGCACACACACACACACACACACACACATGCACAATCGCGTGAGTGGCATTTGAATATAAATTGTTTCATCTGCTTGCAAAATATTCATTTCAATTTATATGACTCTTTTTTTCTGTCCTTTTTTTTTGCTGTTTTTCCGTTTGCTAGCTTTATTTGATATTTAATAAATTATTTATGTGCTTATATACATGTGTGTGTGTGTGTGTGTGTGTGTGTGTGTAGATAGTCTTTGCTTTCGCTACTGCCAAGCAGCACTTCCGGTTCCTGTGCAGCAAAGTAAGATACGAAAAGTTTTTCTATTTGACTGCCAACCTCAGGGACTCACAGCTGTGTCGCCTTTAATGAAGCTTAATTCAACTTTTTCGGTTAAGTTCTCTAAGTATGCCAACTTCACATTTCAGCACATATATTGATACAAATATATATTTATTTAGCTTGCAACATTTTCATATCCTGTATTTGCATCTCTTTCTCATTTACAGTGCCAAGCAAACCTCAGAATCTCACTGTGCTGGATGTGTCCGCGAATAGCATTACAATGTCCTGGCATCCGCCAAAGAATCAAAATGGTGCCATTGCCGGTTACCATGTCTTTCACATACACGACAATCAAACGGGTGTCGAAATCGTTAAGAACTCCCGCAACTCCCCAGAAACTCTGATACACTTCGAACTCCAAAGTCTGAGTAAGTATAACATGATGATTACTTTTTAAACTTTCATATAAATTCTGAGAAATTGCCCAAAGTTTAAAAGAAGCAGTTTGATATAATCGTAGACCTGGAAAGTTCAGTGCAAAGCTTGGTTTATTTTTCAATGGTTAAACTTATTGTGAGGAACGTTTTTCAATCATATTCGATACTTTTTTAACACATTCAATAAATCTAAAAAAAAGTTGTAAGCTTAATAAAAAAAAATTTGCACTTAAGACAAGGACTCTTTACATTTATTGCAAGGATTTGGAAAATCCAAAAAAAAACCAATCAGACAAATTTATTTATTAGCTCAAGAGGCAAGAGAGCAAGATGGATATAAAGAGTGGGACAGATAATAAAGAGAAGGTACGCAAATCTCTGGACCTGTGAAGTAAGATAAGTTTTCCACAATTAAGCACGCTTTGAGGCTTACCGGCGTACAGCAAGTTTAATTAAGGAAGCGAGAGTTCCATCAAGAATACACGGAAAAGAAAAGTTAGGACGACCTAATAGAAAAGGGGAATCAATTTCGCCAATAATTAACTTATGTATAAAAACCACACTAAATAGTCTAATACGGTTAACAGAAGTCGGAAGATTAACAAGAGTAAGTGAAAAATGTTGTAAGAAATGCAAAACTTCATCGATACAGCTCAGCTTCAAAATTATATAAATTCACACAGCTAAAAGTCAATTGTCAAGTGACTGAAACGACATGCAAAAATAATTGAATTTAAATGCCACATCAAAAGCAAAAAGAGAAGCAGCAACTGCAACTGTGGACAGCAATAAGCATTCTGCAATTGACAAAATGCTGTGCGCTAAAAACTGCAGCAACAGCAACAATTGTGAAATTAATTAATTTAATATGCAACAGAAAAATTGGTATATTGCGAGACAAACACTTTATGAAAGTATGCCAAATGGTTGAAAATAAATGAAAATTTAATTTGAAATAACTGCAGCTGCCAAAAAGCAACTGAAACTGGCAAAGGATGTTGCTTAATGTGCAGCAACAGCAGCAGCAGCAAAAACAACAACAACAGTTGCAACATCAGTTGCAACTCATTCCTGGCGCACCTGACGCGCGTAATTAATTAAACAATGTGGGCGCCTCCAGCACAATATTCAAGCGTGCCACACGGCGTATGAGCAACACGGAATGTTGCACGTTGATTGCATGGCATGCTGACAGAATATACCTCCCCGCTCCTCCCCTGGCACCACGACACCCTAATAACTAACTCTTTCTACCTGCAACAATGCTGCAACGCTAATAATGCTGTGCTTGTTTTGCGTATTTGTTTTTTCAGTCCTGCCTTAAAGTATGCAATGACAAAGTGAAGCGAATTTCACAGAATTTGACAGAAAACGCGTTCCTTCGCCAAAGGAACCAACCCAACAAATTTCGCGACAAGCAAATAATTTGTTCGGTTAGCTTTGTCGGGAAACGGGGGGAGGGGCGTGGTACCTGCCTCGGTTTTGGCTCATAATTACAGGCGTCAAAGTTGCTAACAACAACAAAAAGTGGCCAGCGTTAGGCACTTGAAACTATTTAATTACAAAGCAGCGGGCAAACAATCGACTTGAGCTATAATTACAGCTAATGACAGGTAAGGGGTGGAGAGGGTGAAGAGGGTGGAGGTGGAGGCGTGTTGGCTATAGGATCTAAGGCAGAAGGGCGTTAATGTTGGGCACATTGCTGACAGCTTGACTGCTGTATCGCCCAGGTATATTGACAGTTTGCTTAAGGGTCCCGGACGCCATAAAAAGCAATTAAAATGACGCTTTAAGTCCTTTTGTTATTGCTGTTGTTGTTGTTGTCTGCCTTTTGGGCATGACTGTACTTTGAATGAGCGCTGCGGTTACCAGCGAGCTTAGGGTCGGTAATAAAGGCACTTGAGTGCTTCACACAAATTGGGAAAATATTTAAATGTGCGTAACTCGAGCAAATTTTAGCAGCTTGTAGTTGGCATGGCTTTATTTGGCAATAAACAATTAAAGAGCTCTTCAGCATTGAGCAATTACAGCAATTTTGGGGAATACAATGGGAATACAATATTAAGAAAAATAATAAGAGAGTTTATATATACATATATATGAGTTGACTGATTAGTTTACTATATCATATAGCTGCCAAAGAAACATTCGGTCGAAAGTAGATTTCTTGATGAACAACTTTTTTTATTTAACAACATATCCGAGTTTTCAAATATGCAAATTATTTTGCGGAGTTTAGACTAAGAGCAATTGAGTCTGGGTTACTATATCTTATTTCTGTCAGATATTTTATGCTTAACTAAATATCCGAATCAAACTTACCCATATTTCAACCACTTATATCGCTGAGTTCCCCTAGGACGACAGATAAGTTCGTGAATTAGCAACTTGATTTGTTTGCCAAGTTATCCTAACCAATCACATCAGTTATACATTTTGGTAATGATAATGCTAATAAAATCAATGTAGAACTACTACATTAAATAGTTACCAAATGAGTTAATGTTTGAACAACTCTTACCAAGTTTACCAAGTTATTCTAACCAGACTCATCAACTAATCATATTATTATCCTCTTCATATTTGAATCGGAAATCGTCAACATCATCTCACTATAATATACAGCTTTCAAAATTAAATTCGGTTGGTTTTTTCTTAAATTTAAAGTGGAATTTAGCAGATGGAAATTGACCCCAAAGATATTTCAACTTAGTATCAAATTTTAAGCTGTGTGTGCCTTGCTTACATGTTGTAGTATCTAGATTAGCCGAAGCCTATCTGAACTTAATGTGAACTTGTGAATTATAATCGACAAAGGGTTAAAAAGTCTCGCATCGCTTATGGATATCAGTTCTGTTACATCCCTTGAACTTCGACTTCTAACGCAAGTTCATCCATAGATTTTAACTCAATTTATTTGGCTTGTGGTAACCATGAAAACTGACCTGAAACGTCTTTGTAATTGAATTATAAAGGCAAAGGCACAATTCGTTGTCAAAAGAACAGCCCAGCCCTCTGGGGTAGATGAAACAGCAAAATGGATTTAATGTACAATAATCAAAGAACAAAGTCAAACTGCAAACTCATTGTTTTACACATATTTTCAATGCTCATTCTTCGTTTTTGTTTATTTTTTTTATTTTTTTTGTGCTTTTCTTTATTGCAGAACCCTTTACTGACTATCGTGTCATTGTCAAAGCGTTTACAACAAAGAACGAGGGCGAACCGTCCGATCAGATTGCCCAGCGTACGGATGTGGGCGGTGCCAGTAATCCGACCATTTTAAATCTGACGTGTCATTCGCAGGAATCGATTACGATACGTTGGAAGCGACCCCACGAATATTACAACACCATTGACTTTTACGTTGTGAAAACACGATTGGCCGGCCAGGATACGCACCGTGACATACGCATCAATGCATCCGCCAAGGAGCTGGAAACAGCGGTAAGCATTTAAAAAAAAATAAAAGAAAAAAAACTACGAAAAAGAGAAAACATTGCTCTAACTGACATCTCTCAAAGAGCGAGGAAGTTGCCAACTTTGCTGGCCAGCAATTTGTCATATATTCCCGGGGTTTGTCTTGTTTGTTTTGCATTTTTTGCCGTTTTTTTTTTTTTTTGCACTGCATTGCACTGCCGCCATTTTGTCGGCCATGTTGGAAAAAAAATTGGGGCGGCAGCGACACACACCTTTGATTGTCTGCAGAATTGTTGTGTGCGAGTTGTGTTTGCATTCTCTTTTTAACTGTGTAAAATGTTTTACACAACACACAACTTTTATTATTTGATTTTTTTGTTTCTTTATATTTGTATTTTTTTTATTTTTGGCGTTCTCTAACAAAATGCTGATTGTTGGCAACTTTGCAATGATATTTTTGATATTTCCGTCTTTTTTTTACCGCTCGTTGGTCACCCAAAAAGTATGCTTTGATAAACGTTGTAAAACAGTGAACTAGATAACGGCCAAAACACGAGTGAGAGAATTTGCCCAAAAAAAAGAGACAAAATGAAATGCCAACAATAATTGCATTTTTATGCTACAAACAGCATAAATAACCAGTGCAAATTCCACAAAACACCAGAGGATTACTCGACTCTGAGATGCCTTAGATTGTAAAAGCAGAGTATTTAAAAGAAAATAGTTTTGTTTTCTATTATTTATTTATTTTATATATATATATATATTTCTTATTTTATTAGAACATTATAAATAATAACATTAAAATAATTCGTAATAGTATTTACTTTACCAAAATATATACTTAAAAAGACAGTTGACTCAAAAAACATTCACAAAATCTAGTTTCTAACTCGTACTAAAGTTTATTTTCTTAACTGCTAATCATTCCCATGAATATCTATAATAATATACATGAAAAACGAGTCAAAATGAAGAAATTTTGTACCCTTTAATGGACCCATTTTTGTGTAATTTACATGACTTATTTTTATTTGTTCATCGCTGGGAATCGCAATAAAAAAGCCTTTCAAATTCCACAGCTGACTGAACGGTCGCTGTAAATCTCTCCCCGAAGACGAATACCGACGGGATTGGAAATATATCGAAAACATAGCCAAATTGAGATACCAAGTAAAACTGTGAGAAAAATGGCATTCCGCACGAATTTAGTTATGTAGCCAGAGGTGTATGAAAAGTATTTGGGATGAATTGTGAGCATTGCTGATAGAGAATCTTAAAAATTCAGCTTTTTAAACCAATCAAAAGTTGACCGGCGTAAATTGAATTCAGATGCAAATACCCCATTGCATGGCATGCCATAGTTATTATCGGAATATACATATAGAGCCTCTATAAAGAGGTCACAAGAAGAGCACCCTTTTTGGGTCCGCAGGCGACACATGTAAATATTTTACGAATGTTTATCTGCAGTTACGCCCACATAGGAGCCAGGACTACGGTTTTTGGCTTTTAGCTTTGGCTTTGGCATTGTCTTTGTGCAGCATGAATTGTTGGCCAAAACAATACACACACTCACAACTGGCACACCTGCACGGGTTTTCGTTGGAAATAAATTAAATTTATGCCGTTTTGTGGGTTTTTCTGGTATGCTACGTTTTGCCCCGTTTTTATTTAGCGCCCTGCATAGAATGCGAAACAAAATAAATAATATAAAGCGCCGCAGCGAAACAAGATACAGACAAAAATAAAAATATATATCGTAACAATAAAATTTTATTATGCTCGCACAATGTACAACTGACTTTTTTCTATATGTTTTGCGGAAAAGGTTTTTATTTCAGTTTTCATTTTTCTTTGCTTCGCTGTGCTTTGCTTCGCTGTTGTTATTTGCAATATGAGCTCATGCTCGGTTTCTGCATTGTTTGCTGAATTTTTTGGCTTTGTTTTGCTCAAAACTATTTTCGTAATTGAAATATTTTTCGGCAAAACAAAAATTGTTAATCAACAATAGATAAATTCTGCATATATGTAAGTTTTTTTTATAACTATGTATTTTTTAATCTATTTATATATTTGCCTATCACAGCTACAATTTTAAACTTGTAAAATATGGCTTTTGTCACAAGGGTTATAAATAAAATGAATATTCATAAATGTATTTTTGAGAGGTGTTCTTTGGATTTTTTTAAATTGCCACAAAACAACTAGAAATCACTGCCTAATAAAGGAGCAGTTGCTGAGTTCTCTAAATAGTCCTGCCTATCTATAAGCTCCTCTGGGTTATCCACCTCATCAAATAGGTCGCCATGTGTATAAATAGAAATAAATAAAAATCAAAGAGAATAATAAAACATATTCCCAACAATATTTAAGATAATAAGTAATGAAATAAATATTATACTCTTAGTACTTCATAATAAGCTCTTTAATATTTAATATCATCTCATTTTCTCTGTTTGCTTCTCTTTTATGCAGATGGTTTTGCCAAATCTGACAACGAATTCCTACTACGAAGTCAAAGTGGCAGCGGCATCGTTCAGCGTTATAAATCCCAAGAAAATTGTGTTGGGCAAGTTTTCGGATTCGAGAATTGTAAGTAGTGCATAAACAATTCATACACACACAGATACACACACACACACACACGCACACACCTGCTCCACATAACAAGCAATTTTGGCTACTGACACTCACTTTTTCAAGCAACTACAAATCAAAAATGCAATGGCCTTTTTTAGTTTTTTTTTTCTTGGGTGGGGCGTGGCATACCATAAACTTGGCTGTAATATTACAAAATGGCCTCGACGTTGCCATATCTGATTGCACCCACAGTATATATACTATATATATGTATATGTCTGTCTAGCAGTGCTGCCTGCAGCATATTTTGGCTGCTGCTTTGGCCAAGAGTTTATTGCATATTTGCCAGCTTGCCAGGCTAGTAGGACATGTCTTAATACACCCCTATATACATCTATATATATATAACCTTATACATTTTGTGGCATATCAATTTCGCTGGTATCCTCAATGCCTGCAGCTGACTGGCTGGCCTGCCTTCGTTTGCATCATTAAGCATCAGAGGGTGGCCAACGTGGCGTATGTGGAATAAGAGTTTTTGCATATTTAATGGCAATTTGTCAAGCATAATCAGGCGCCGCTACCCCCCTCCTGCCACGCCCATCATCAATCGACAAGTGCATTTTGTTGTTTACGCTCCGCTCGGTTTATTGACTTTTCAACTCGACTCAAAATACATTCAACTTGTCGTAACAATATCATAACAAAATCCCCGCCTGACACTTAACACACAGCCACAGTGTAAAGTTTGTGGCATGCATGGTATGTGTGTGTGTGTGTGTGTGTATTACAGCCCGTGACAAAAGATGGCAATTTTGCTAACCTCGTCGCTGATGGGGTTGCGGTCAGTTTTTAGTCATAACTCATAAAACCACACAACTTGTGCAATTTTTTGTTTATTTCTTTTTTTTCTGTTTATTATTTGTTAGTTTCTGTTGGGTTTTCTGCTGCGCTGCATTTACATATAATTCATGGCTGCTGTTCTGCTCTCGCTTGAATTTCAATTGGCTGCACCTTTTGGCCACATTTACATGCTTCGCTTCCGCTTGCCACATCCACATCAACATCCACTTCCAGTTTCACTTCCGCTCAGGCGCATAGTCAACAACAAAAATGTCCCTTAAATAAATATATAATTTATGCAGCAAAAAATACAAAATACAAAATAAAAATACAACGCAAATGTCTACAAGCCAAATGATTTAACTTGAAAAATGTTGTTTGTAGATTTGCTTAACGGCAAACATTTTCTTAGGCATTTAATCACATTTGTTGGCAAGTAGAAATCACCAATAAATGGTTCGAGTGACTTGCAGTTATTTTTTAAAGATGCATCTAACTTCGATATATTTTTTGATATTTTTATTTTAATTTTATTTGCCTCACTTCGAATTTATGGAATCACTTATAGTTTGGCATCAGTTAAATGTAAAAATTGAAAATAGCTTGAACAATTTCTTCTACAAATCTTATGTGATTATAGCTCAACAATAATTTTTTTCGTCATTTAAAGTAGCTTAAAAGTCAATACTCCACCTATAAATATATAAATAGACTGAGCAGTTAAAGCAAACAAGAAGTTTGGAGATGACTACCACAGGCTGTGACCCAGATTTGCAAATTGTTTGCCCCCTTTTTCTTAAGCCATTTCTTACTTACGGGCTATAGTAAGAAAAGCAAAGAAAAAACAAGTTTGAGTATAGGAAGTGCTAGGAAACAAAGCCCGGGCATAGCTTTGAAAATACGGGCCCCGTGCAAAATACATATTTGCATAAGATGAGAAAGACAAAAAAACAAAACACATTTTTCCCACTTTAAGTAGTGTCAGCTGCAGGCAAAAGCCATAAATCTCAGCGGGGTTTTGGAAGTCGCAGCTGCGAGCAACAACAACAAAAACAACAGCAATAACCAATACCATCCCCAATTTAAATCCCTAACTAACCTGCTACTTTCTTTTATTTATTTCAGATACAGTTGCAGCCGAACTGTGAGAAGTTGCAACCGTTGCTGCGTCAATCGCATAACGACTACAACTTGGCCGTATTGGTTGGCATCATCTTCAGCTGCTTTGGCATCGTGCTGATTGTCATGGCTTTCTTCCTCTGGAGGTAAGTGGCGCTCCTTGTTTACACACACACACACCCACACACACACACTAGTCTGTATACACATAACCCCCAACCCCAGACACAACCCCAACCCCGTTGAACTCGACTCTTTTTATAGTTTTAAGCATAACAAGTGCAGCTGCATTTGCGACGCGTGCTACCCCATAAATATATAAAAAGCACGCCCATCTCTTCGTTTTCAATACCCTGTAAGGAACTGTGTAAAAAGGGTTTGTTGAATTCATCTAAATGTACGTGACAGTCATAACCAAATATCCACGACCTTAGAAAGCTAATAAATTCATTCAGCTTGATTGAAATTATACGAGCTATAAGTACCCAATTAAATCGATATTTATCGATAGCTTACAATCGGTTATATCTCTTAATATACCTTCGGCATCAGGCTATATATGTACTGCATAACATTGAATATAACTCGGAGACAGAATAATTAAAGGTTTTTAAAATCGCTTAAGCTGCGAATTTCTCAATATGCAGAAGTAATAATAATAATATAATGGAAAAACTGAAAAAATATAAACCTGTGTTATATAATAACAAAACTGATTGTTATTTTCTTAAATATTTTAAGTTTTTAACTATATTTTTGATTATTTCCACTCACTCTTACATTCATATTCTTAACAATTTTCGATTCCATTATGAATCAGCTTTTCGGCTTATTTTCATTTCATTTAAATAAATTATAGGACAGGCTATTGGCACTAAAGTTACAGAATGTTATTCCTTATATTGTGTATATTCAAGAAAGTATACAACATTTGCAACATACTTTAACATACTTTCTGTTAAATGCACAGAATGTTGAACATATACAGGCAACATACTTAAACATTCAGTAATATAATAAACTTTAACAATGGAATCAGATAATAAAATGGTTATTAAAATCATTTAAATTTCCTGTTGGATGTTAGGGTATCTTTCAGTCTAACACTCTCAATGTGTGACACTCTTACTTGTTAAGAGTTGGCGCAACACACTCGCCACACGCCACACACTTCACCCAACCACCCAAGATAGTTGGGCACGCAACCACCCAACCACCCATTCGCCCACCCACCCGTGGCGCTGCTTAAAAATAGCCCAGGCAACAAATCAAACTGTCGACTGGTTCTGATGCTGATGCTGTCTGAGGCACCACTAGGTCCACACACAGCAGGCGATTTTTCGCTTCTTCTATTTTCGGAGCGTGTGCCGATGAAAATCAAAATGTTTTAATTTCCTATTTAATTTCCCTAAAATCAACAGCACATATAACTATATGTATATATATGTATATATATATAGTTGAGGGCAAATATAGCTATTATAATGTGGCAGCTAACGCCACGGGAGATCGAACTGGAGAGAAATATCTCACTCTGTCTCTCTCTCTCTCTCTCTCTCTCTCGATTTACGCGAGAAAGAGTTTGCTGGGAGTGGATTTGGGGGATTACCAAACACATTTCAGGGGCATTGCCGGAGCTCTTATCGAAAGCAGTGCTACATGTGTTGTCCGCTCTGCTTAGATTATTAAGAACAACAAGAATAACATCTCGGGCATTTAAACTGTACACTCAAAAATATAAATTTATATATTGCTATATATATTTATATTTTTTTCAATTACATTAATATGTCATTGAATTTAGATAGGGCAATAAAATGTCAATATTTATTTAGCATATACCTTAAAAGTAACAAAGTTTTGATCAGAGGCTTTCTCTGCTTTTCGTGGAGTGGCAAACCATGATAAAAAGCCTTGGTTTTTGAAAATTACCTTTCTTTCAGCAAATTTATGGTTCTGAGAAGTTTAGACGCACTTTTTGAGGGCATATTTTGCATATTCATTTCGAGCTCCTCCAGTTTTTTTCATCAAGAGTGGAAATGGTGGAGTTTCTTATAAGGCAATACCAAATTTAAATGGTTTCATTAACTTGAATCAAAACCACTCTCAGTCTATGTAAAATTCCTTTCCACAATACTAAAAATGCTTTCTTTTCCTCCTAAATACTTTTACGCAAAAGCATTATAAGCTTCTTAGCAATTTTTAATGGATTTAGGTTAGAACAAATCGATATATAGAATAAATAAAGTTTAGAAAAGAAAACTTTTGAATGCGATTCCTCTGTTCCACGCAACGTGTACAAAACAATAATGCAATTGTCCCTCTAAGCTAAATTTAAAAGAAAAAAATAATAATAATAATTACTGCTGCCAATTGTTCTGAAAGGATTCAAGGCAAACTTGGGCAGCGCTGCTGATTCTGCTTCACAGCACTTATAAAAATAAAAGGAAAATGACCAAAGAGCTGACATGAAGATGCTGTTTGGGCAAGGAGTGGGAAGGGAGAGGGTTCCATATTCATTCTGGCATTTTCATTAGGAATGTTAATTAAAATTCAAATCACAAAAACATAAACCCAACGGGGACGTCAAACGGAACGAAACGGAACGGAATGGAACACAAGACAAGCAAACAGTTTTAAGTTACTTAAAGTCTTTATTAAATGTGCGAGTGGTTAACCCTTTACCAGTCTTACGGGTAACAAAGGCCTCGGGCAGTTAACCAACCACACCCACACACACAACCACACACACCCACCCATAAACACCCACGACTCCTTGACGCCATAAAGAAAATGCGAAGCATTTTTAACTTCAATGAAAAATTTTTATTTCTTGTTTCTTGTTTTATTTATTTTCATTTTTTCCTTTGCTATGTCATTTTTCATGCTCCCGCGAATATGTCAAATAAAAGTTGCCGCTCGCATTTCAACCCCAGCTACCCCCCAGCTACACCCCCGCCCCACCCCCACTTCTAAAACCCCAACCCATCCACTTGTTTTTGCTAACAAATTAATGCCATTTTATTTATTTTTTACAAATACTGTGGAAAGTTAAGGCAGCCAAGGCAACGGAGTGGCAAGAGAGTGGGGTATATGGGGGGGGTAGGCACTTTCTGATGGCGAAAAGCCATTTTTCATGTTGCCAGCGCAGCGTTTTAGAGCGGAAAAAAATTATATTTTATTTAACAAATACAACAAAACAAATATCCGCAATTTCCCTTTCAATGCGAACAAATAAAAGAACCGAGCTAAGTAAATGGACGCAAAAAAATAAAGTAAAACACAAAGAAAAAGAATGAAAAAGGGTTTTTCTCCATGGAGTGTGGGTAAAAATAGGTAAATTGGCCGGGTTGGCTTCCAGAGCACAGCTAATGCGCTTGAAATCAGCTAATCTTGTGGTTTTTATAAACCTATTTAACCTATTATTGAACACCAAAGAAAACTTTAGATGAATATAAGTATTGATTTGCTTAATCAAAAGTATCCTTAATTAAAATAAACAGTGTTTTTTTAATATGCTTACCACAGAAATATCGTTCCCAAGTTTTATCATTGTTAAACATAAATCATCTTTTACATCAGATTAATTACATAATATCGTAAGCAATCATCTTTTCAAAGACTTTTCTTCAAGTTAATCAAAATTTCCACAATTTTAAACACAAAATAAAATAGAATTTTCTAATGAACTAACACTTGAATAATTAAAAAGCAAAATCTTAAAAATATCGAACCCCATAAGATATATATATTTTTGATCAGCATCACATTCAAGGTCGATCAGTCATGTCCATCTGTCTGTCAATTCGTCTCTCTGTTTGTTCCAGATAAGTTATTGAATATAACATTTATTTATTTACTTTATCGATAACTCTCAGTCCGTTTTGCATATATCGATATAAATCGATTTAATGCAACAATAAAAGCCAGCATTCTCAAGGTGTAGCCTTTCAATTTTGATTGATTTATAAATTAGTCTAATATATTCTTAGCTAATAATTAATTAGCACTTGAAATACAACACAAAATATTTGTATTTTTTCAAATGAGCTAATACTCGACTCGAAGTTTTTCAAAATTAGTTAGCACGTTGATAATCTTAAACACATAAAATATTCGACTGCTCAAATACATAATATATTCGATGAGTATCTTAATGCTTAACCATTTGACAATCTTCAATCCGAATGTAACCGTTCTCTCCCCTTTTGGATGCGCTTCCCTCGTCCATCCCTTAAGGTGTTTTTCGAATAAGTATTTTTCTACTCAATTGCTTGTATGAATTACTTTCGTCGATAGTTTTTGCCGCCTCTCAACTTTTGGCTGGCCAAAAACTTTTGTGCTGATACTCCGAGAATTTTTATTGCAACAATTTGCTGGTTACAATACAAAAATATGTCAACGATAACAGCAATTTTTATATACATTTTGACGCCGCATATAAAACTAAAACTATAACAACAAAAAAAAAAAAAGGAAAAAAGAAAAAAAGAAAAAAGGAAAAATAACTGAAATGGAAAACTTTGTTTGCCTTGCCTGTAAGAGGTAGAACTATCTCTCTACTTGTCTCATTCTCTTTCTCTGCCCTCTCTCTCTCTCTCTCTCTCTCTCTCTCTCTCTCTCTCTCTCTCTATCTCTCCCCCTCTATCTCTGAGTGTGTGGCTGGTAGTTTCATATTTTATGCACTTTGGCAACATTGTTTTGCGGCAACGGCTTTATTTGCCTGCGCCCCATGTGTGCTGTGGTGGGGGCGTGGTTGGGGAAGCGGGGCGCGGATTGGGGGAAGGCTTGTGTTAGAGTGTTTTTCCGCCAACTTTTCGCTCGAAAAAAAGAAGAAGAAAAAACAACAACAAAAATGCTGGCAAGAAATTGTTTTGGCTTCGTAAGCGCAACTTTTTGGCACAAAAGTTGCATTTGTTGTTGCCACAAATTATTAGAAAAACGTGTATGCGTAGATATCCCAAGGGATGAACAGAGGAGGTGTGTGGCAGAGGGGTTTAATGGCAAGGTAAGCTCACCTCAGGTTTTTCTCAGTAAGAAAAAAAAAAAAACAGAAAAAAATAAAAATAAAAATAAAAATGATGAAACCAAACAAGATTTGACTTCATCAGTTGCGATTTTTATTTATTTCTATTTTTTTGCTCGATTGTCTTCTGCTGGGAGCAATGAAACTTTTCCAACTTTAATTTGGAATATATATATATATCTATATATACAGCATCGACACTGGCCCAGGACATGACTTTCTGCACACTTTCTCTTTTTCTTTTTTATTTTTATTTATTTTTTATTTTTTTTTCTTTTCTTTGGTGTTATGCTGCTATGCATATTAAGTGGCAAGTTGGCGATTTCTTTGCCCGATATCATCAAACAGTTGTGGTTGTTGTTGTTGTTTTTGTTGCTGTGGCAAACTTTTGTTTTGTTCACACAATTGTTGTGTATTTTGTTGCAGATGCTATGCGGCATGTGCCAATTAGGCAATTAATTCGCTTATCTTTTGTTCAGTGGACTCCATTTGGATGTTATTCAATTTCATTCCCAATTAGTTGGAAAAAAAAAACTTCTATTCAGATATGTACGTATATATAACGTTTCAAAATTAGTATGGTTTCAAATTTAATTTAATATACAACATTCTTAAATTGAAATATTTTACCAGTTTTACCTTAAAAAAAAAATGAATAAAAAATTATACCATTCGAAATTATAATGGTTTCAAATCATACAAATTTGTTTTCGAAGATTTTAAAAAAATTTAATTCGTTATTTATTTTTTTTGCACATTAGAATTATTTACAAATTCTTGTCAACTTTGCACCGCTGTTTATCATCGGCAAATGCTAAATATGAATATGAGTAAATAGCAAACACAAATACGATATTAACTATCATTTTGCATGTGTGTGGCGAAAAGAGATAGACTGAGAATAAGCGCTTTGGCTTATCACACACACAAAGCTGATTGTTGTGACGCGAGCAAAAGCTCACACGCTCTCACTCTCTTATACAGATCGAGCAAATGAGCGCGGTGTCTGTTATTAACATGTCTACTGTGCTCTGTTAACGTGACTAGGCGACCACAGTGTTTGCCATCCGATTGGAATTTCAGTTGCGTTTTGATAATCGAACCGCGCGATCAAAGAAATGAGCGAGCAGCGTGCACGCTACAGCCAAAGCTGAATGCACGCGTCTGCGACAGACAGAGCGAGACAGAGAGTGAGCGAGATAGAGCAATAATATTGTTTATCAGCGAAGAAGCAAAAGGCTCGATAAGCTGTCAAATCGATACAATACTTCTTCTTCTTATGCCTCTTTTTTTTGTTTTGTTTTCTGTGTTTTCGTGTCAATTGCGTATTTTAATAATTTTGCAAGTTTTGCAATTGGCGTCAAAGCGGCTGCGAATATGACGTAATTTTGCTACGTACAACGTAACAACAACAACAACAGCAACGACAACAACAACAACAACAGCGAGCGCAACAAGTGCATTGCAATTTGTGGGCTTGTAGAAAACAAAGCCTGTTCAAAAATCTCAAAGACACCCCCGCCCCTCCCCCAACTTGTCAGAAGCTTGCACTCATCGCTATATTAAACATCATGTCAGCAGCTGCTGCAGCACCACAGGGGGAGAAGCAGCAGCCGCTGCAGCAGCGCAGCAGCAGCACAACACTTATACGCCGCAAATCGAAACGTGGAAATTGGTTTACGTAAGTTTTTGTTCGTTTCGCAGCAAGCAGCATAAGTGGGAAATTGGGCCATTTAGCTGCCCACTCACGTGTCACGCCTTAAAAAAAATAACAAAAAAAACAAAAGCAGAAAACGACGTAAACTGAATCTTCCGATCAACTTTATGACAAAAACAATAACAAAAACAATCAACAACAAGAATGCATAGCAAATGAGCACAAAAACAATAACAGCAACAACAGCAACAACAACAATGATGAAAATAACAACAGTAGCATTTCAACTGCTGCCGAAAGCATAAGAAATAAATAAACAAAACGGAAGTTGACAAAGAAAACAGAAACGAGAGCAAAAGGCTAAAAGCCGCACCAATAAATACACTAACATAATAATAAAAGTAAAATTAAATGTTGCTAAACTAAAGAAAAGTTAATCAGTTTGTTGAATACTAGTTCAAATAAAACGTCTAAAAAGTTAAGTTTAACTCCAAGCTTAATAAAAAACAATTATAATTTTTAATATTAAAATAAGCTAAAATAGAGTTCAAATGAAATAAAACTATGACAGCTTTAAGACTACTGCAATGTTATGCTTCAAACTCAACAAATTAACCCAAATAAAGATAAAAAGAGAAAACAAACACATGAAAAAACAAGTGCAACTGAGTAAATAGAAAAGTTTCCACAATACAACAAATATTTACATAACACATTAAAGGAGGGAATTGCCCTGTAATTATCCAAACATTAAACATTAATTAAGTTTTTTTCCCCAACAACAAAATCAAAAAACAATAACAAATAATGCTGTAAAAACAAAAACGAAATTAACACAATATGACTTTTAATGTGCAATTAAAATCGGTACTATATAAAATACATATGTGCATTAGATCTGGGCACTTACTTTTTTTAGTGTCGTTAATGAGTAATTTTATGATTTACAAAAGATCGTGACTACATTTATAACAAATGTTGTATATTTCCATACCTAATATCTGGTGCGTAAAAACCAAGCGAAAAAAAAACAACAACAATAAAATCAACAGACGGCGGCATTGAATAACACATACATATATATATATATATATATATATATATATATATATATAACAGATATATGTGTGCACGTAAATATCATTAAGTTATTCGTACGAAATCAAATAAAAGTAAATATCTCGGATACATTTCAGTTTCAGTTTCAGTTGTTGTTGTTTTCTTTTCACATCTCAAAGTGCTCGATGATTGTTGTTGTTGTTGTTGTTTTTAATATTATTCCTGTTGTTATTATTGTTGATAGGCAAATTCAGGCTGATACAGTTATTGGATATTAAACAGAAGACGCCGAGCATTTTCTTAAAGTTTTTATTTATTATTTATTATCGTGTCGCCGTCTCTTTATTCAAGATAAAAACTTTGCTCGTCTTGCTCAATTTGCTGTTTGTTATGGAAATATTTCATGACTAATCAAATAGTTTATTGAATTCATATTTACAAACATTTACACATAAAGTGTATATATATGTATATATGGCTAGGTGCGAAATGGGAAGCCAAAGAAAAATATGTTGAATAATTTTACACATTAAATCATTTTTATGCCCACATTGAAAATGTTTAAATAAAAGAATAACATATTTAACTGCTGGGTGCAGGGTATTTCATAGTCGAGAACAGCATTCTTACTTGTTTTTATGTCAAGTGCAAATTACACCTATAAAAAATGATTAAAACTGAGCAGTGCAGAACAAGTCTATTCAAATTAATATTTATTCATATTAAGAAAAACACAAATTCCTTTTTGAGCCTAAGCTGCTTGCTTTAAGTATTTTGATTTTAGAATGCAACAAATTTGAATCACAAATTCGCAATATTATTTTTCACTTCACTTTTATATAATGTGTGCAAAATGTGGTCAGATTGGATGTATTCAAGCTTATCGCATTCCTAATCTGTTATCAGCTGACAGAGATAAACACACCGAAACCAAAAGCCCAATTCACACTTACCTAGACAATACTGTATTATAGTATCAACAATGATGTCAGACGCAAATCCTAATTAGCTTTTTGCTTAACCTACAAAAAATTGCATTGTAAAAAAACAACAACAAAAATGATTTCCAGACTCAACAAATGATTTCTGTTGGCTGTTTAGAAAAGTTAGCGAAAACTTGGCAATATTTATATGCATAAATAGTTTGTGTGTGTGTGTGTGTTAGTGTGTGTTAGTGTGTGTGTTTCTACGCAAAAGTCTCCACTCTGTGGTGCCTTAAAAGAAGAAGAAAACAGTTTGCTTGCTTTGCTTGAAATCACTTGAGCCAATTACAAAACTTAACCTCAATATTATATAAGCAGCTGCCGCAGTTACTATTTATTTACACCGTAACCGTAACCCGTACACCATCCGCCACGCCCCCTCATTGTCACTCAGTGTTTATGCTACTCAAATATTTGCATAAAATCCATTCAAATGCCAAAAGCAGCAAAATATTTCATCTCATTTGCAGTGACTGCCATTCAGAAATTTTACTTGTTTATGCCTGGCTGCAGCTTAATGCCATTAATGTTAATGTTGACCATAACACCCCCCTACCCCTCCACTACTCACCCCCATCTAAGCGAAGGTCCTTCAAACAGTTTTCCCTATCTTTATTCTCACTCACTCACTCCCTCTCTCCCGCTCTCTATCTCTCGCTCTATTTTCTATCTCTGCTCGTCTACTTGGAGAGCTTATTATTTATGCATTTTGATTTTTTTCTAAAAGCTCGCTGCACACTCAAGTTCACTTCAATTTCCCGCTTTCCCCCCCTCCCCAGCTCACCTGACACCTGGTGTATTTTATAATTTTTGTTATTTCCGACTGAATTTCAACTAATTCCGTGAACAAAACTCCTCTCTAAAGTACTTTTTCAGAGAGATATATAGAGAGAGAGAGAGAGAGAGAGGGAGAGAGATACTTAAGTATTTACTGCCAGCAACTTGAAGCAGTCCCTTTTATTGAAGTGTGGCAAGCTTGAAACTTCGTTGCATACTTGCTACTCGAGATTCATAAATAATACAGCATATTTTTTATGCATTTTTATATAATTTTTTAGTTTTTAGTTGTCTATATTTAAGATACATAAAAGTGGAAAGATTATCCATTAGATGGGTTTAATACACAAACACAGGAAACCAACTAGGAAAATCTGTCGAAATTTATTGAATATATTTAATTAATACTCGAACATTTGTTGTTGTTTCACTAACTTCAGCAGAAAGTGCTTCCATGCCGCTTATTACTATCTGGACGATCCGCCACATCATCCGAATGCGCCCCAGGTCGATTGGGAGGTGCCCGTCAAGATTGGCGATGAGATCCGTGCCGCGGTGCCTGTGAACGAGTTTGCCAAACATGTGGCATCGTTGCATGCCGATGGCGATATTGGATTCAGTCGCGAATACGAAGCGATCCAGAACGAGTGCATCAGCGATGATCTCGCCTGCGAACACTCCCAGCATCCCGAGAACAAGCGCAAGAATCGATATCTCAATATAACCGCATGTAAGTCAATTACTAAATCCAATACAAATTTATTCAAATAACAAATATTTATTTTAAGATAGATTAGGAAAGAAGAACGCTGTTTTCTTCATCCGAATTTAAATTTAGTTTTGATTGATAATTACAATTTCTAATCATTTTTAAACAAATATTCTTGAATATATTTGAAAATTGATTCGCTTTGCACTCAAAGTAAATCTCTCTTTTGCTCCCTCCAATCTCTCATGACAAAAATATTTATATTTCTTCTCCTTTTCGCAGACGATCACAGTCGCGTTCATTTGCATCCGACGCCCGGTCAGAAGAAGAATCTGGACTATATCAATGCGAACTTCATCGATGGCTATCAGAAGTCGCATGCGTTCATTGGCACCCAGGGACCGTTGCCGGACACCTTCGATTGCTTCTGGCGCATGATTTGGGAGCAGCGAGTCGCAATCATTGTGATGATCACCAATCTTGTGGAGCGTGGCAGGCGCAAATGCGATATGTATTGGCCCAAGGATGGCATTGAGACGTACGGCGTCATACAGGTCAAGCTCGTCGAGGAGGAGGTCATGTCCACATACACAGTGCGCACCCTGCAAATCAAGCACCTCAAAGTGAGTAGCAGTTATTACAATTGAATCAGCATTTCAATTTATTTGATCTGTAATTATTTGCATCTAGCTGAAAAAGAAGAAGCAGTGCAATATGGAGAAAATTGTGTACCAATATCACTATACCAATTGGCCGGATCATGGCACACCGGATCATCCTTTGCCCGTGTTGAACTTCATCAAGAAATCCTCCGCTGCCAATCCCGCCGAGGCTGGACCCATTGTTGTGCACTGCAGGTGAGTCGCGGATCGATCTTGGATTGGGCTTCTCGCTGAATACAGTTTCCTTTCTTTAATTGTTGCAGCGCTGGCGTCGGTCGCACTGGCACCTATATCGTTCTGGACGCGATGCTCAAGCAGATTCAGCAAAAATCGATTGTCAACGTTTTTGGCTTCTTGCGTCACATTCGAGCCCAGCGCAATTTCCTCGTCCAGACGGAGGAGCAATACATATTCCTGCATGATGCACTCGTCGAGGCAATTGCCTCGGGCGAGACCAATTTGCCGGCTGAGCAAATCGAGGAGCTAAAGAATTGCACTCCGTATTTGGAGCAGCAGTACAAGAATATCATCCAGTTCCAGACAAAGGACATACACATTGCATCCGCCATGAAGCAGGTGAATTCGATCAAGAATCGTGGCGCCATTTTTCCCATTGAGGGCAGTCGTGTCCATTTGACGCCCAAGCCGGGCGAGGATGGCAGCGATTACATAAATGCATCCTGGCTGCATGGATTCCGGCGCTTGCGCGATTTCATTGTCACCCAGCATCCGATGACGCACACCATCAAGGATTTCTGGCAAATGGTCTGGGATCATAATGCGCAAACAGTTGTGCTTCTCTCCTCACTGGATGACATCGTAAGTTAGCCCCTAAAGTCACGGGAAGATTCGCTCTCGCTAAGAACTCATTGTTTCTTTCAGAATTTTGCCCAATTCTGGCCGGACGAGGCCACGCCCATCGAGAGCGATTATTATCGCGTCAAATACTTGAACAAGACGAACAAGAGCGATTATGTGAGTCGCGATTTTGTCATCCAGTCCATTCAGGATGACTACGAGCTGAGCGTCAAGATGCTGCACTGCCCCAGCTGGCCAGAGATGTCCAATCCGAACAGCATCTATGACTTCATTGTTGATGTCCACGAGCGCTGCAATGATTATCGCAATGGACCCATTGTCGTTGTTGACAGGTGAGAAATAAACTCAAAATCGACGCTTTTATTTTTATCTATATATAAGAATACAGTTTAATTTGAACAATCAGAAAGAAGCACAACTTATTCAGGGGAAAACTCATGAAATGATTTATGAATAGAATGGACAAATGACTGCAAAACTAAGTTGGCTGAAATATCAATTTTATCACTTATCATTTTATTATTAGTTAAAACCAATATTGGTATTCCAGTTAAGAAACCAAAGAGCAAAGAGCAGAAATTATTTGTGTTCAGTTTCTATTTTTTGCTTATGATCCTTTTAATTGAGAGACCATATACAAGATCCATATTCATGAATTACTAGTGAAATATAAAGAGTTTGAGTGAAAATAAAATAATAAAAAGATAAAATAATAAATAATAAATTAAATATGTTTATCAAACTCAAGCTTGGCATCTAAAAGAATACACAAAATCCTCAATCCATTCGGAAAACAGTTATTAACAGGGGTCATTCGTCCATAACAAGACATTAATTTGCATTTATAACAATTAGGATTTAATAAATTTACTCGAAACCAGACTTAAAAGCTGCCCAAAATCAGTTTGTAGGCCAGAAATGGGTTGTTAGACGACAGGCAAAGTTTTACAAAATTGGCATTAGTAACTTATAGGAAAAAGGTCAGGAAGGTCATCTATGAATGACGTGAATAACAATTGGACAGGTCAAGATTACTTGCTTGTCTGAAATAAACTTTCTGCGTTCGAAAAGTTAAATATTTTGAGACCCTGAGAGATTTTTGGACAGCCCAGAGAACTCAATTTGTGAATTAGGAAAGAGGGATTTACGTACAGAGTCAAAAGCCGCCATACTTTGTTTATTTTTATAATAACTAATTAAACCTTCAATCTTCTCCAGATATGGGGGAGCACAGGCGTGCACCTTCTGCGCCATCTCATCGCTGTCGATTGAGATGGAGTACTGCAATACGGCGAACGTGTATCAGTATGCGAAGCTGTATCATAACAAGCGTCCGGGTGTGTGGACCTCCAGCGAGGATATACGTCTCATCTATAATATTCTGTCCTATTTGCCCGGCAATCTGAGTTTACTGAAGCGCACGGCGCTCCGTACCGAATTCGAGGATGTGACAACGGCCACGCCGGATCTCTATAGCAAAATTTGCAGCAACGGTAATGTTACACTCCAACAACATCAACAACAACAACAACAGCAGCAGCTGTTGCTGCAACAACAGCATCTGCTGCAGCTGCAAATGCAACATGAAACACAACAACAACTACAACAGCTACAGCTACAACAGCAACAACAACAACAACAGCAACAGCAGCTACAGCAGCAGCAGCAGCAGCAAACACAGCAAACAAATCTCATTAGTCATAGTCATCATCAAACAGAAGCAGCTGTTGCAACAGACACAGACACAGAAACAGAAACAGCAAATACTAATTCTTCCTTATTACCCATCTCATCATTGTTACCACCCACAGTTGCCTCATTGTCCATCACACCCACACCAACACCAACACCAACAGCAACAGCATCAACATCAATGTCCAACAACAGCAATGACATGCCCAACAATCATACAACACCCACAACAACAACAACAACAATCCCAACACCACCAATTACACCAACAACAGCTGCAACAGTTGCAACAGCTGCAACAACAACAACAACAACATCAACACCCATAAATGATTTAACCCATACTAATGTCAATTTTACCACTGTTACTAACAATGCTGCCGATGTTGCTGACGAACTCAACTTGCAACAACAACAACAAATGCTCGCACTGATGCAACAACAAACGCAACTGCAACAACAATACAACACGCATCAACAACAATCGAATGATGCCAATTGCCTGCTGCCCCCAAATGTTGACGAATTGCACAATCCACCAACAACAACACCAACAACATTGAACAACAACAACAACATTAACAATCTGCAACAACCAGCAGTCACAGATGCTCAAAACTTAGATATTGTAGCCTAGACTTAAACTGAAGAGCATATGAATCATTTTATAAATGCTAAAATATGATATATATATATATATGTATAATTAAATATAAATATATATATATACATATATTTACATATAAATATTATTTGTAATTGAGAAACGTAATTATATTTAGTTGTAAGCATTGAAATGTGTATTTATTAAGTGAGTCCTTGAAAACACTATGCTTACTTTAATTTATTTTGATTTAAACTATTCTATGTTAATTTCTTTTTTTACAACTATTGATTTACATTTACGAACCATTATTAATTTTAAAATTTAACATTTAACATTTAACGTAAATTAGTCACAAGCAGAAAAAATAGTCAGCAAATAAGCAAACTAGCAACTTAGCAACAAGGCACATGATTAAGTCTATACATATTTAATAATAGTATGTAAATGTAGTTAACGCACAAACTGCAATAGTTCTCAACGAAAACGACAACAACAACAACAAATTAACTTTCCCGCATTTTGTTACATTTAATTTTAGTTTTATAGACAAGGATTAAACAAATATTTGTTGTACTTTTGTGCCATGCTCTCAATACTTAGTTCAAATCAGGTTCCAGTTGTAGTTACCTATTACTCTATATATATATATATATATATGTATATGTATATATAGATATTGTTTTGCATACATTTTTTGATTCAATGTCCGTCCTACAATCTGTTAATGTTTTCTGCTCACTTTTTACAACGATTAAATGTTGAAATTGCAAATGCAAAATAAAAATTAATTAAATCAAAGAACAAAAATCTTAGCGAAAATTAATGCGAATTTAATAGAAAAGAAAATGAACATATTTAAGAAATTGCGTATACATAATGTCGTCATATATAAATATATATATATATATATATATATATAGTATTATATATATATGTGTATTTTCCCAGGCACATGCAAGACATATTTTCTCAAATTTAAACAAGCACCTAAAAAGCACCACATCACTGTAAATCCAAAAAAAGAAACGAAATAATTGAAAATTGAATCACAGGCACATCACAACTGTAAATATATATACTTATATATGTAGAATTGCATGAAAGAATGAGAAAAATAACTAGAACCTAAGGCGAGCTATAAATATTGTAAAAAAAAACTAAAATAAAATAAAACTATGTAATACGAAAGAAGAAAAAACAAACTGCTTAGCGTTTAGTATTTAAGTACTAATTATTTGTAAAGCGTATCGCAAAGCAAAGTATTATTAAAATATACATATATATATATATATATATATATATATATATGTGTGTGTGTGTGTAAAATCCTGTATGGAAAAAATAATGAGAAACATTGTTGTCTCAGTTTTGGCATACGGCGAGCTACAGCTCCAGAACGGAAAATATAATTAATAAAAAACGAAAATGCAAAACAAAATACATTAAAATACTCTCAGCTTGAATCAGCTTATTGAAATTCATCGGGTATTTCAATTGTACAGTTTATACAGCTAATTAAAACTAACTATTACGCCGCACTTTTGAATTGCCATGGCTATGTATCCGTAAATCTATATATATAAATATATTTATAAATATATATATATAGGAATCAATGGATTGTGCATGTACAAGTTTTTTCTTAGTAAACATAATATATATTTATATATATATATGTGGTATACATATGCATCAAATTAATTGCAGTAGAGCAGGGTGCTATAAATACTTATAGTATGTATAATTGAGCTATCGATCCGGATTCTGAACAATTTGCACACACAATTCCCACAATGAATGCTTCTGAGTATTTGCGCCCTGTTCGCAGCGGCTCAAGATTAAGAGACAGTAAGATTTATACATTTATATGTGGAGTGTATATGTATATGTATATGTATATGTATGTATGTATGTGTATTTACTGATAACAACAAAATGTTTTAAAGACTGGTTTTTTGTACACTTTATCTTAAGCAGGTATACTCGATTATGTATATGTATTAATTATTCCATCTAAACCTTAAAAGCTTCTCTTCTTGTTTGCCCCATTTCAATCAGATTGGTTTCTCTTTCTCTCGTTGAAATTATATTCTCCACCGTTGAGAGTATGATTTGTACAAGATTTCAAATTTGTTTCTCTACAAACACAAAAGAATCATCGATTTCAATATGAACTTTAATGAGATGCGACCTTTTTTTATTTTATATTATTTTCTTCAAAATGAAATCAACTTAAATATTCTCTCAAAAAAACAAGCTGCATTTCTAAGAGAAAAGAAAACCGAACAATTCAACCTAACGACCAATTTTGAAATTATGTTTCGTTAAACAGAGCTAACGAACTCTAGGCACCTTTTTTAATAGTGTAAGATGATTAAAACCGATATATATACATATATATATATATCTAGATGGCTTGTAAATTCTCATACTAAAGGCAGAACTAGAATGCTTCATCTGTAATATAAAAAATCATATTATTTTCAAAACTAAACGATAACTAAAGCATTTTAATTATTAAACACAAAGTAGATCTTAGTTATACTATGCAAAAGAAAAAAAAAAAGAAAAAATGAAACAGTAAATTGCAAATATTAAATGAATGCGAAAAGTTTTGTTAATGACAGCCAAAAAAAAAAAAAAATAAACCTTGACAAGAATATGGCGAAGAAATTAAAAGCCAACGGGGAAAAACAAGATCCAAAAAGAAAAGAAAAATGCAAAATACAAATGAATAGAAAAATAACAAAAAAAAGTAAAGTAAAAAATTGCACACACTTCTCGAGCAAGGAAACCTTTCCAAGACTAACTACCTTCACAAATCATATATTAATATAAATATTATCTAATTGACGGTGTTAAATAAATGTGATGAATGTCAAACTTAAGCGTATAAAAACATGGGAATACAAAAAACAAAACGAAACAATTAACATAAAAGCCCAAATGAAAAACTCAAAAAAAAAAAACATAAAGAAAAATAAGAAAACCGATTTATTAAGAAAGCTGAAAAGTAGCGAAAAACTTAAGTAAGCATAACCCACGATTTTAGAGCTAAGCATAATGCATAAAGAAGGGATACAAATGAAACGACAGCCCCCATAATTTTGAAAGAGTATGAGTATAACAGAGTAGAAAAGCAAAATGAAAAACATAAGAAAATCCGAGCAAAAGTAGAGCAGCAAGTACTATATATGAAAATCAAAGTGAAGGCAGTTTAAAGACGGATATAGAAAGACGGCAAATAGAAAACAAGTTGAAGGCTTTTAAGTAGCGCACGAGGAATGCGAAAACCCGATGCATGATATGAAAATAGTATCTCGATATACAAGAAACAAAAACAAAAGTAAATTAAAAATAAACTTATGTATGTACACCTAAGTTACGAATAAGCTAAATGAAAAGTTGATATGGATGCAAAACAAAAAAGAAAAACTTATAAAACTAAAACGAATGCAAAATAGAAATAAAGAACATCTGATAAATAATGCTGGTTGTTCAATTATGATATTCTTTAAAGACATTACACACTTATTTTAAGCATTGATTTTTGATCGGTATGCAGTACTGGAGTCTTGCATCCCAGCGTTCAACTGCAATAAAATAAAATAAACAACAAAGTTAGGAGCAAAATAGAACACGAAACTTTACATTTATATTTGAAAAAAAACGATAGTTCTTGTGGCAGCTTTATGACATAGTAGTTCAATCTGACCGATTTAGACAAGTTTTCTGCCCACAGCAAAAATGAGGATATATATTTAGAAAATATATATTTCCAGCCTTGATAAATTTATAACTACCCAACTATAGTTAATCAGTTATTATTATTATTATTATTAGGGGGGAAGCTGCACCGCGACCTATTTGATCTATTGTGCCCCCTTTCTAAGCCTATAGCTCTTCCATCAGCCCCAACTCCCTTACGAACGTGAGGATCTTTGTTGGGTTGAGGTCTACTATGTCGTTGTAGTTAATCAGTTAGTTTTATATTTCACATCCGAAACCCAAATACACTTAGTATGCCTTGATAATAACACCATTCGATTGCCAACCTTAGTCGAATTCATTTTCTGAATAATATTTTTCCTGGTTTATTAAAGAGAAAAGGTAAGTAAACGTGAGTACAATAGAACTATTTTAATGTGCATTGGTACTTAGATCCTTGTACGTCGGAAAAATATATATTATATTTGAAAGAATGGATGGACCCAAAGTGGTTGTGCGTTTAAATAGCACAGGCGATGTGGTCTATGGCTGTGAGCGAGGCTGTGATCTGATCAAAATCGCTGACACCATCATATTTAAGGATGCACTTTGGTTTCTGGTACTTTGGGAGGGTTACGAGATGCTGGAGGCGGTACCATCTTCTTTGATGGATCACTATTTTCCCAAGGAAGTCATTGAATACTACGCAAAATATCTGAAAGAAGAGAAAAAAAAAATGAATAATGTATAAGATATACTGATATATTTGCGAAATTTGTGTTCTTTCTATCTGTTATATGTTGTTTTTTTTTTAGTTGTGTTCTGTTCCGAACAACAACAACTTGTAAGATAGAATTCGCTGCTACAGTTCCACTATTACCACCAATTCCATCCTCAACCCTGCTGCACGCGTCAACCTCCTTGACTTACCGAAGGCTGTACAGATTAACAGGCTTTACTTTTACTGTAAAGTTACATTATGGCAAACTTGGATTCGAAAAAGCTTCTGAACTTTCCTTGATTAAGAGGCAAGCTGGCCCTCTTCTTATCCCCGTCCGCGCTTTTTGGAGGACACTGAGTCCTCATTAACAATTTGAATGTCGGATTCAAATGACGAGAATGCTGAACCAGCAGAATCACTGTCTTCAAGTCTTCAAATTATAATCCTCATCATCCAACCAGGCGATAGTACGTACACAGACCAGTCGCACTAGTTAGGTTGTTGCGATGGCTTAGCTGACTCATGTCACAAATTTGCGGCATACTTTTAGGAGCGAAGAGCGCAGAGACAAACTGCAGTCAAATAATATGAAGGTACTTTATAGCATATTTTTAACGGACTTTGGACATAATATTTTTCTTCAGCCCTGGAAATCTTTGAATGACACTCGAAAAATTGTTTCTTTGAGCACAGAAAATATTGGTCCTTCGAGGTTCCTAAGTATACAGCGGAGTTATGGCTTAAGGACGCGTGTCATTTTTACAAAAGCAGCTCTAAATTGGCCATAGGATCTGCGATTTTCGAAGGACATTGTGTATATTTTTTTAATGTATTTTATTGATTAACGACAGACTTGCAGGATAGAAAATGGTGTGAAATACAATGTTTTTTTATGTTTACTTTTTGGCAGCAACTTTTTTCTCGCGCGCCTTTTTACCCTCCGTCAGCTCGATACGCTGTGTCTCGCTCAGCGGTGGCATGACCTTGGTGACGACACCTGTGCCCAAAGTCAGATTGCCATCACGTAGCGTAAAGCGTTGACCCTGCTCCAAGACCATCGGGCGGATGAGACGCAATATGAGTTTGGTGTCCTCGCCGGGCATAATCATGTCCTTGTCCGGTATTTGGACTTGAACCGCACAGTCCCAGGTGCGTGAGAACATCTGCAGCTGAATGAAGGACATGAAGGGTTTGGTGCGACCACCCTCCTCCTTGGACAGGATGTAGACTTGCGCCTCCAATTGATCGAGGGCTTTAACGCTGCCCGGTTTGCACATGACCATGCCACGTTTGATGTCATCACGCTTGACGCCACGCACCAAGGCGCCCAGCTGATCGCCTGCCTGGGCCTCCTCGAGAATCTGATGGAACATCTCCACACCGGTCACGGTTGATTTGAGCACCTTGTTGTAGCCAACAAATTCGCATTCCATGCCCTTCTTGACGACACCGCGCTCGAGGCGACCGGTGACGACAGTGCCACGCCCCGGAATCGAATACACATTCTCGACGGGCAAAAGGAATGGTTTGTCCAGCTCACGCACTGGTGTCGGTATAAAGCTATCGACCTCCTGCAACAATTTCAAAATAGCCTCAGAGCCAATCTCTGGATTCTTGTCCTCGAGCGCGCACAACGCAGAACCCTTGACAACGGGTATCTTATCGCCATCGTAGCCCATTTCGGTGAGCAGTTCACGTATCTCCATTTCGACCAGTTCGACCATTTCCTGATCCGCTGCATCCACCTTATTGATGAACACCACTATATGATCGATGCCAATCTGTTTGGCCAGCAACATGTGTTCGCGGGTCTGTGGCATGGCACCATCTGTGGCGGCAACAACGAGAATGGCGCCATCCATTTGGGCAGTGCCGGTGATCATGTTCTTGATGTAATCCGCATGACCGGGACAATCGGTGTGGCCATAATGTCGTGACTCCGTCTGATATTCCACATGTGCCACATTGATTGTAATGCCTCGGGCCTTCTCTTCGGGCGCATTATCGATTTCATTGTATTTCTTGCTCTCCGCCAACTGTTTGTCGGCCAGCACCTTGGTAATTGCAGCCGTTAGCGTTGTCTTACCGTGATCCACGTGACCAATGGTGCCCACATTGCAATGGGGTTTGGTCCGTTCGAACACCTTCTTTTCATTGGCATATTGACGCACCCGATATTGCTGCAAATTGCCCGTGAGAAGCAGCTGGGGGGAGACACCACAGTTGACTTGCCACTTGCTGCTACTGCTGCTGGCCATACTGCGCACCAATCTTGCCGTGCTCATGGTACGCCGGCTGCACCGGAATGCGACGACTCCTGTCCGGCAAACAGCTGCTGCAGCAATTGCTTGTGACAACATCTTCATTTAATGCTTACTTTCAGCTGTAATTGTCAATGGTAAAAAGTCTTCACTTTTTTAAGTATTAAACTACTCACAATTGCAATGAAAACGAGTATAATTTGAGCTTAAATTGAAAATTGCGTAAACATTAAAAATGTGCTGTTCGCCCACAAAGTTACCAGATCAAGTCAAGCGCACAGCGCTGCCACTACAATGTACTCATAAAAAAGTTGTGACAGGTGGCAACTTTGTTTGTATGTAATGCATTTATAGAAATAAAACTGATATATTCAAATTTTGGGCTGCTTAAAACAAATCTGTAGGTCAAAAAATAAAGATAATCATAATAATAGTTGCTACAGAAAGGTTGTTCTATTTGAAAATACCTCTCATATTCGTGTTTTTTTTTTTTATATAACATTAATATTAACAATTTATTTTATCTCACAAAAATATATGTATATTGATAATTTCAGAGTGGAAAACTTCCACTTACGAAACGAGCTTTTTGAATATAACAAAATATTTATTTTAAGTCAAAACATAACTCTTTTACAAAATATATGTTTTAATCGTGTTTTGCTTAAAGTTCGTTTTGCCTCGAAAGCAAAGTTAAGCAAAACTTATCTCAATTAAAATATTTTCCATTTGGATTGTAAACTTTTGAATGATGCCTCATCGGCAATTCAGTATTAGTTTTAGTACTATTATTATTATATTCTATTACTTACAATTAAATCGGTGCTCGCGTTTGCAGGGTAAATTCCACATCCATAAGACCAAAGTTGCTCCTTGGCAACACATCGGGAATCCAGGAGATAAGCATGCCACTCTTTACCTGCAAATCAAGTATATTAAATACAATTTTATGCTTATGTTTCTCAGCTAAACCTTATGCTCGGCATCGAATAGCATGTTGATCATATAAAGCCTCAGTCGAGTGTGAACCTGACGCTGTTTGGTCTGCGTCGAAGTTGGCACTTTTGCCTGACGCACATAAGGCACAAATTGACCATCCAAGTTCCGTTCAAAGCAGCGTTCCAGCTGCAAGCTGAGCTGTGAGGAAAGATATAAAATATGAATATAATGTTAAATTTATAAAATATGTATATATAATTTACACACATTGCGACTGCTGAAGATACGTTTGACGGTGTGCGAGGCACTAAAGTGCCAGACATACTTGGTGAGACCTTTGTGCTTTCCAGCTTCGAGGACTGAGACTTGATGCAGTGGACGACGCTTGATGCCAGCACTGAAACTCTTGCTAAAATGCGAGAATGTTTCCTGAAAGCGAGCATATATATTAGTATAAAATATATAATAAATATAAATATAAAATGTAGAATATAAATTATACAATATAAAATATAAGGCATAAAGTATAAAGTATAAATATATATAAATATATATCTAATTATACATCTAAATATTTATCACATTTATAACCTTGTGCACATGAAACTGTTGCAACACCTGCCGCATGCTGACAGCCTGCTCAGACTCCGTCGCTGGCTCAATGGATTCGTTGAGCAGCTCTATCACATACTCCAGCCAGGCGGCATAGGCCAACGCTGGCTCTACTGCCACGCTCACAGCTTCAACCACGGCTGCTGTGGGTTCGTTTACAATCAGGGCTCGCTTTGCCGGCAGCGGTGGCTGCTTGCGTGTCTTCACCTCATCCACTATTTCAGATGCTTTGAGTGCTGGTTTCTTGACCACCGCAAACGTTGTCAACTCAATGGCGGGCAATTGATTTGTGACTGCTGCTGGCGGCGCGAGTATATTGTAGGGTTCACCAACCAGTGGCAATTCAATGTCCTCACTACACAAATCGATTTGATCCGTCAGCTGATATTGATCCATGAGCTCAATATTGCAATCGGTTAGCTCCAAATGATGATCGTGCTGCTCCTGCTCCTCCTCCGCATATATATCACAGTTGGACAAGAGCTGTGCATCGTTGGCACAGCGCACCACGGCACTGCTGCTCCCGCTGTTCAATGCTGCTGGCGTCGTGTCTATATCCACATCGTATATCAGATCTGAGAGCTCCTCAGGTAGCGGCAGCAGCTATAAATGAAATCAATATGTTATTATTTTAAATCCCTGTTAAACTGTTCAACTTACATCCGAATCTGTCACACAGAACTCATCGCCAAAGATGTAAATGTCCTCGGGCGGATCAGCATCGCCGCAAATGTTAATATTCAGGCTCAGACGTAAATCATCATGGGTTGCCTCGCCCAGCGGTGTCTCCAGCCTGTCGGGCATCCAAAATGAGTGCAGACTCTTCGTGAAATTGCCATAAATTGTTTTGCCCTGCGGCGAACTTAGAATGCCAGCGAGGACGAGCAACAAATGATCACAGATTTCATCCTGCATTACCAGCGAATTGTCCGGCTCCACAATGATTTTCAGCTTGCGACAGGCACACGCATAGTTTGCCTTCCTTGTGGATACTCCATTGGCCAGTGCCGTCACATGAAGGTGTCCCGCCGAAAATGTATCCGAGCGTTGGCATTTCACAACAAAAGTGGACGGATTTAGACGCTGCACTGCGGGCAGCTGTTCCTCCTCGGCGGATTTGTATTGCTGCCAGAGCTTTTGTTTCTGCTCGAGACTGATGTTCAGATTCCAGAGCACCTCGCGGGAAACCGTGTAAACCAATGCCTTGGGCATCTGATCGTGTCCCTCGCGACACGCCTTGATATGCCGGCAGTCATTATCGCTCTTGCATGCAACCACATAGCAAATGGCCTTGCTGGAGACAACCGCTGCATTCGGTTGCAGCGACAACGTCACATCCTCGATGCACACAAAATTGCGCGCTTGCGTTTCTCGACCCTGTTCTTTGGATCGGAGCGAATAAACTGTGCATCCTGCACGCCGGCACACAAGTTGCACCCCGTCGAGCACATTCTTATGCTGTGGACAGTTTGGATTGCGGCAGAGGAGCGCACGACTGCCATTTATGGCACCACAAGTTGCACATTTCTTGAGGCCGCGTTGTGTGGGACGCTGAATTTGTTTTAAATCTGTATTTTTATTTTCGCTTGCCATGGCCATAGTGCTGCCAGACAGCTAAATAAAGTCAAACTATCGATATGAGTGGTATGCGGAAACTACATAACTGGCCAGAGTATCGACACAGAATGTCTGTGCTTCTTATGAAATCAATAACTATCGTTAGCTTCAATATTTTCACGCGCCAAACCACATTTCAGAATTGGTAATCGTGAGATGAAAGCTTTGTTTTATTTGATTTTTTTAAATTAATCCCTCGCTACATGCTTCTCCAAACTCTCTAAACAATCAAATTCCACCTGTGCCTCTATCCATCGTGCCACTGTCAACAGCAACTGCTCATTTAGATGATTACTCATGAGTTGCAAACTGAGCGGCAAGCCCGCCTTGGACAAACGGACGGGCAATGAAACCGCCGGAATTCCAGCCATATTAGCGGGCTGTGTGCAAAAGTCCTGCACGGCGCACTGATCCCGATTGCTTAGCGACGCAAAGTCCTTGTAAAGTGGAGCATCACTCAGTGTTGTAGGTGTCAATAAAATATCTACTTTATGTTCAGTTGCGCTCGGTTTAAAAACTTTGGCAAAATCGTCAGCGATTAAGCGACGCACTCGCAGGGCTTTCTCAAAATAATGTTCGTAGTTTTTGCGCAACAGCAAAAAATTGCCAGTTAAAATGCGCGTTTTGACCACCTGATTGAAACCCTCGGCACGAGATTGGGCATACAACTGTTCCGTGCTCCGCTCATCTTCGGAGCGATGGCCATACTCGATCCCATCATAGCGAGCCATGTTGCTGGCCACCTCGCATTGATTGAGTATTGAGTAGACAAATATACTCGAGGCAGTATTGGGCAACGACACCTGTTGCACATGAGCGCCGGCACATTCCAGTAAATCGGCCACTTTGGTCCAGGTTTCCAGCACTTCAGCGGTGAGTCCTTCACAGTGATATTCTTTGGGTATTCCAATGCGCAGCGAACGCAAATCAATTTGATCCACTTCTGGCAATTGTAATCTCTTGAATGACTTTTGTATGGTTGTTGAATCTAGGTGATCGGGACCGGCTACTGCATTCAGGATCTCAACACTGTCGCTGATTGAACGCGTTACAATTCCAGGCACATCCATCGAGTTGACCAATGGAATTAGTCCATGTCGTGAACATAGGCCATAAGTAGGCTTGAGACCTATCACGCCACAATAGGAGGCGGGATTGCGAGTTGATCCACCAGTGTCAGAGCCAATTGCACTGCAATAATAATACCATTTAATTAATTGTCAAACAATTTTTTTAAATATTACTTAATATACTCTTATCGATATATCGATTGTTTTGAATGTTTATAACAAGAACAGATGATAAGTGCTGACGAACGGTCACACTGCGCACCAAGCGAACGAGAAAAAAGTAAAACAATTGCAAAACTACTGCAAATATTTGTAACGTGCTGAAGCGATGTCTGCGCTCTTTCGCCTAACCAGCCGCGCCGTGGCGCTGCAGCGCTCCGTGGCCATCAGCCAGGCCGCAACGCTGCAACGTGCAACGTCGTGTCGCAGCATCAAAACATCGCCGAAAAAGGACGAAACAGTTGCAGCACCAGCGAGCGTAACAACCGAAGATTTTGCCAATCCCAGTCCAAAGAACTGGATGAGCTACGGTTTCGATTACAAGACCGAGGCGGACGATCGCAAGGCGACAAAATCGACATTCTTCTTTGCCGTCACACTGTGCCTGGTGTGGGGTACATTCTACTGGGCCTATTTGCCCGACACACAGCTGCGCAGTTGGGCACAACGCGAGGGCTTCTTGGAGCTCCGCCGTCGCGAGCAGGCTGGTCTCGATTTGATTAGCCCCAACTATGTGGATCCCTCAAAAATAGTGCTGCCATCAGACGAGGATCTCGGCAATACGGAAATTATCATTTAAACTAACTCTCTATCCATATTTAGTTTTTGTTATGTAACGGAAAAGAAACAAAACTGGTTGTAGACGAGTTTTTGTGGTTCCTTGAATAAAATTGCAAATGAGGCATGAAATCCGGTATTAACACTGCCTGTTTCGAGTGCTTTACGCCAGAATATATAAATCGAGATCTTTACACATTTGTTTTCTCGTTTGAGGTTAGAGTGAATCTTCAAAAAATGTAAACAAATAAAAGATATTTTTGATTTCTACTCACGCATAACACAAACCAGCTGCAACAGCTGATGCTGAACCGCCCGAGCTGCCACCGGCAATTCTCCAATTGTCCTGGCTCAAATCCTCACTCCAAATATTCTTCGTTGGCCCATAAATGGAGTCGACAGTGCCGGCGCCCATAGCAAATTGATCCATATTCGTTTTGCCCAACAGAATGGCACCGGCCGCACGTAATCTGTCGGCCACAGTTGCATCATAAGGTGGCACAAAATCCTTCAGCATGCTTTAGGGAAGAGTACCATTAGTACCATGATAATATTTAATCTAAATACCTACCGGGAGGCGCAAGTTGTGGGCAAATTGCTGGTGCAGAAATTATCCTTAATTGCTATGGTTATGCCGTCTAATCCACCAATGGGTTTTTGCTGTGCATATCTTTCAGTTGAATCCTCCGCCTGCTGCAAGGCCTGCTCAGGGGCAAGGCAAGCAAATGCGTTTAAGGTCTTTAAATTTTTGGCATCTTTTAGCGCCTGTTCCGTCACCGCTTTGGGTGAAAATTGTCCATTGATGTAACCGGCAGTTAGCTGCAAAGGTCGACATTTAAAAATAAGCCCATTACCTTGAAATAAATGTCGACACAAACCTGTTTGATGCCCAACTTCATGTGTCCCCTCATAATTATATCGCATCTACAACTCAATTTAAACAACCATAGTAAACAAAATAAAATTCAAGTACTCAATTTACGGCCTATGTGCATTCCACAGGGTGCCAATAAACACCCTGTGGACTAGAGATGCGCGCACAATCGATAAGTTCACAGAACTTTCAAGCTTCTTAACATAAACTGAAAAACTGATTAAAATATACATCTTAAAAACATCGACTAACAAGTAAACATATATTTGATAAAACATATTGCGATTGTTAAAACTAACTTCATACAACATTAAACATATATGATGCCCAAAAATTTGACTATACATTGCACATGGATGCATTCTTATTCTTATTAAGTTCGCCGTGGGCTGTGGTCGTATTAAGAGATTTATTTGCATCGACATCTTTCTCCAGTTTGATCTCCTGTTTAATGGGAATGGCAGACTGTTCTTCGTCTTCCGTCTCAGATTCGCATTTCTGTGAATAAGAAAATTATAATTATTATTAGTATTGATATCGATAACTGAAATCGAGAATTATATTAACTAATTGAAAATAATGATACATGCAGATATAGTCAATGTGATTTGATTTCGATTTTCAATTTAGTTGAGTAGCTGATCGACCCAGGGCATCTGGTTAATGACTTGAATAATATTCGAAATTTCACTTTCATCTAGATTTAATCCCAAAATCGATTCGTTTTGCGTTTGATCTGCTGAAGTTGCATCAATTGCTGCGATTACTTCGTCTTGATGGGGAAGTAAATGCTCTTGTTCCTCTGAATTATGATCTTGATGGGGAATTTCACTATCTTGAGATTCAGTGTAAACGTCGCCTTGATTGAAAATTGGATTTTCGAAAATAATATCTTGAACGGGAGGATCTGGATCCTCCAGCGGCAATCCCAGATCGGCACAGTCCAGATCCCATAAAAATGCATAATTCTGATCAATTGCATCAGGATCAATATCTAATATGCCATTGCCTAAGTCGAACAGATCAAATTCATCATTGACGGACTGATAAGAACCAACCGAGTCTTGTTCGTCGCATTCTGCAAATACATTTTCAAATGACGGCGTGCTTGGCTCTTCATAAAACTGTTATGTTAGAGTGGGGTGCGGTGTGGGGTGGGGCAGGGAGGTGAGAGGTCGTTATTTTATTCATAATTGATCACAAAGCTTGTTTGTTTTGTTTTTTTTACGAAAATACTTAGTAATGTTGTGTATTGGTTATTGTTATAGCTATGACTATATGGTAAATATATATATTGGGTTTTGTTTTGTTCTCAATTCGAAACAATCGAATAAATAAATGTAGTAAGTGTTGTATGTTGCATGTTGTATGTTGTATATGCAATTAGTATGTACACAAAAATGTAGCGAGAGACTTAATTTAAGTGCTATTAGTGATACGAATGTGTTGCTATAATTACTAGTAGTTTTTTGTTTTTGTTTTGTTTAGGCTCAGCCTGTAGTTAACGCACCTTTTGTATGTATTGGCGCTTGAGCGGCGCCACGTTAAAGTGGAGCACACAAGTGGAGTCCTCCAATATGCTGGCCACTGGCTCTTGGCAGACGACGCCGCTACGCTCCACGCCACAGGCACGATACAGCACCTGTCGCTTATCTTCGAGTATGTGCTTGCGACAATGCTTGCAACAGGGCAACGTGCGCTCCCCGCACTTAACGCCGCCCTCGGTGAAGACGCATTTGGGCTGCGTGGAGGATTTGGCTGTTAATTGGGTGTCGCGTGCACGTTTCTCCTTCATCTTCTTGTAGAGCACCGCCTCCATGCCCTGACGGCAATGATAGCCATTCAGCGCCTTGAGCTGCTCATACAATTTACGCTCGTGCGGCGTCTCTTTGAGCTGATCATGAATGCTACCTGCAATTGCAAGTGAATATTAAACAGTTGCTCCAAAATCTGTGTATAAACTCATTCATCATCATTTACAATAGGTCTCGCGTTCGCGGCGTATGTCCTGCAAATAGTTGCGACGACGTTGCCTCATCTCCTGTTGCAAATGTGTAATCTGCTCGCGATACAAATCCTGCAGCTTGATCAGCTTCATTTCGGACAGATGTACTGCCTCCGCACGCGTGTAGACGCCAGCATGTCTACAAATATAAATTGAATTACATTTTTGTCTACATAAATCAATCAAAATTCAAGTTTACTTAAGCGGATCATCTTCCTCGGAGTCGACGCTTTCGTAGTCGGATTCATAGAACTCCACATCCTTGGCGGTATTCCTCAGACAAGGTGGATCCTCATCATTGCTGGAACTGTCCGAAGCATAATCCAAAATGCGACGACGCTTGCGTACACTGGCCACCACCTGACCAATTGAATTCGTATGATCCTGATTGACTGTAAAAGGAATAATGATAAAAAGTCAACTTTGGTGGAGAAATAAAATAAAATTAAATTAAATTAAAAAATATATATAAATATATTTATTTATACGCCCATTCTACCTGTATATACTTACATATGCATTTTCTCTCTAGAATCATAAATAATAAATTTCTTTACCAAACATTTCCACAATATTCCCCAAAAACAACATTTACAGGGTGTACCTTTCCCACAGGGTACACAAAATTCATCTTACCAAATGGCATCACATGCGGTGAAACGACGTCAATTTCATCATCATCCGGTTCGGGTCTGGGCACCTCCTGTTTGATATCCTCTACATTGACATGATGCGACAGATTATTTAGTAAAATCTCATTAGTTTCGATCCTACTGCGAAGTCGTCCGACAGATAAATGTGTTTTTTGAAGTTGCGTTTGGCGATTGTGCTCGAAGCACAGGGTGGTCATGATTTGTTCCTTTTTGGTATCCAGTTTGGGCACTGCATTCCCGCACTTCCGGCCATTGGGATAGACATGGGTGCACTGGCGATAATTGGCGCGCGGATCGCGCAGAATGTGTCGAATACAATACTCGTAGCCATCGATGCGCATTAGGCTGCACGGGTATGTTGGATTGCTGCAATACTTAATCTTGGCCAGCTCGCTGTGGATTTGATCGCGGAGCTTTTGCTCTTTTTCCGGTGTGCAGGCTGTTCCGGTGAACCGTGCGCATTGCCGCAATTGGTTCGGTGAAAAACTTGCCATTATTTTTTATGTTTCTCTCTGCTTTTGTGCAGAATTTTCAACGACGCGACTGAAAATGCTTGGCTATCTTTAGAGATGTGCCATTTAGAACTATCGAATGTAATATCGATAGTTTATTTCATCATACACAGAAATCTGATAACTTTTTAAAATTTATTAAAATTAGTTTATATTTCTGTAATATGCCATACATGCAATATAAATTTCTATGAGATTAATTTTAGTATAATATTCCCTTTGATTTAATCACTTGTTTAATCTCGGAATGTTTACAGTTGGAAATATTTGTAGTTAATTTGAAGTGCATGTTCGTATGTAAAATAAATATTCGCTTAGAATGTATAAATCATACAAGTATATAAAGTTATTTTAATTAAAGTACAGAAACGACAATATTTCATTTATAGTGCATTGTTATCACTATTAGCATTATCATTAGTTAATTCAAAATGGGAACCAGTCCGATGCGGAACGAACTAGCTATCGAATTTCTTTAGTAAACAAACCGATTGTTTTATTGAGCATCGTAAACAGCCAAATGATGAACGAGGGAAAACTGAAGCAGAAATGTGGGTTATTTGAATAGTAATTGTAAACATTTAATTATTTGAGCAAATGCGAAATCAGATGAGATGTACGAAGACAGCGATTCGATAGCCGACAATGAGACCGAGGAGCACTTGGTGGAGAACCAAAATTCAATACCACCCCAACAATCAACTGACAAGCGTCGCAGCTATGTTTGGAGCTATTTTAGCACGGTGCCCGAACACTCCGATGTCTACAGATGTAAAGTGTGCAGCGAAACCTTTGGCAGCAAGACAACCATTCTGGGCAGGCACCTACAAACAGCACACGGCATCACGGATTTGGTAATACCGTTCTCATTGGCTATATATAGATTAATTAAAGTATTCTTTTCCAGCCACATCCGGATGATGCTGTGAAAAAGGGTCGTCCAAATCGCAGTTTTGTGTGGAACTTTTGCACCAAGCTCGATGAGAAGCGTGCCCTGTGTCATATATGTAAAAAAGTCTTGTATTTTGGTGGCGGCAACACGTCCAACATAACGAAGCATTTGCGACGCATGCACGCCGAGAAATTGGAGGAGGTGGTGGGTAAAGTGAAGCTATCTATGCTCAACTCATTTAAATCTCGAATGCATTGCAGGCCAAGCAACTGCCACGTGTCGGTCGCTGGGGAAGCGAAGCGCCATTCTTCAAGAAGGAGCGCAAGAGTTCGAGTTATGTGTGGAATTATTGTGAGAAGTTGACCAAAAACACGGTGCTCTGCAAACTCTGCAATCGACGGATGCGTTTCCATGGCACAGCCAATGTCATAACACATCTGCAGCGCAGGCATGACATTATGGATGAGACGACACCGGTGAAAATTGGTACACCGGAAAAGGTGCTGGAGGCGGCCACGTCCAGCACAACGGAGAATCCAACGCCGCGCTCCAGCCGCCGCAACAGTAGCGTTAGCGGCAGTCTCGTCTGGCGTTACATCACCCGAATCTCGGATGATACGGTGCGTTGTCGCGTCTGCCTGAAGAATCTATCGTATCAGGGCACGAGCAATCTGCAGCGACATCTGCATCGCATGCATAATATCGTGTGGAACGGCAGGGAGACGGCGAGTGTGCCCCCCAAGTCGGAGCCACATCAGGCGGATTCGAATACATTCTTTGACTTCTGCGAGGCGACCAGTGACGTAGCCATGTGGAAGTGCCAGATGTGCGAGGAGCACTTCGAGCACAACGACAGCATAGAGGATGCAATAAGCAAGCACATGATCCGGATACATGGCGCTGCGATTCGGGGTGATGTATGTCCTCATCTCCTTTTATTATATTTTACAATCTTTATTTAGGAATTAATAAAACTCAATTGTTTTAGGACTTTTCTGCAGCTGAGGATGAGTTGCATGACGATCTGGGGGCGCTTTATACGGAAGTTGTTGATGATGACGATGCCAATACAACAGCGGAGCATGTTACACAACAGGAGCAGGAGGACGATGTTGTCAACGATGATGTGCTCTATAATGATATCATCGAAATCGAGGAGGAGCTAAACAATAATGCCGAAGAGGATGGCGAACAATATATTGAAAGTGGCAGCTTTGCCAATTCGCTGTCTGTGCAATCCGGGGATAATGTGGTGTCCGATTATAGTAATGATAGCACCGATGCCCAATTGGTGACGACCACCATTCAGGCGGATGATACGCCCGTGATGCGTGAGCTGAAGGAGAATCTGTTGCGGCAGCAGGCTATGTATTTCAGTGAGAAAGCCAGTTTCTATCGCATGCAAAAGTTTCTTGTGGCGCAACAGGTGCGCAAGGAGCGACTGGAAATTGAGAAACTGAAAGCTGCTCAGGAGCCAAGAGAAAATCCTAGTGTCAGCTAGTGTCTGTTTCTGTTTTCTTTTTGTGTTAAGCTTAATTGTGTAATTGTAAGTTGCATGCAAGTGTTTATAATTATTGTTTAATCATTAAAATAACAAAATGAATTAATTAATTTTAGTTGTTCTCCACAACGTTCATGTCAAGTAGAAGTTTCTTCGTCTGCAGATCGATGAGTCGCCGCTTGGCTCTTGCCAATTCGGCCATCTCATTGTAATATATTGTCTCCGCTTTCAGTTTCTCATCCAATTGTGTTGTAGTCGTGTCCCCTATGGAATTGGTGTCCATCGCATGCTCCAATGAATGCGACAAATTCGCTGGATCCTCATCACAATTGCGGGTGACCATCATGTCCGAATTGTCTACGACATACTCGTAAAAGGGACCCTGCATTGAATCCGAGGTGAACTTTAATCAAAATGCATAAGCTGTAAAGATCGAGATGTGTTTTCTATCTAATGCTCACCTCATCCTCCATGTGATCGGTGACCTTTTCAATGATGCTGTCAACGTCGTCAAATTCCACCTTTTCCAACGGATCCACCTGCCTGCGATCCTCACTCTGTAGCAACTCCTTCTTGGGTGATATTAAACTGTGCTGTGAATAGCTTAGGTTCTTCGAGAGATTATGGTGGCGCCGGATAATGTGTCTCATCAGATTGGACGAGGAGTGCTTGGACGATAATGTTTTGCTGCAATGCTTACACTTCGCCATGAACTCGGAGATGCGCACAAAATGTGCCCACAGCTTATTGTTTTTGCCAATCACCTTGTTTCGCTCCGTGTGATGATGTTGTTGCTCCGTTTGCCGTACTTGGTGCTGGTTGTCAATGATGGCGCGGACCGCAGTTTTCGTTTCTCGCTCACCCATGTTCGCCTCGAAGTGAACATCTGCCTCGGGCTCGGGAGCGTTCAGCTCTTCGCGCAGTTCGGCAAGCATTTTACCCTCCTCACCGGCGAATATCGCACGAGCGAGTAACTTGTGATTCCGGATTAAGTGGCGCGTCAAATTAGATGAGGTGTGTTTCGAGGAGAGCGTCTTGTCGCAGTGCTTGCACTGCACTATGTATTCAGTGAGCCGGTGGAAATGTGTCAGCGCTTTGGCGTTGCGGCCAACCATGTTTACATTTGTTATTGTTTTGATATTGAACTGTTATTTGTGTACGCGCAAAAAAAATCCACGAATTACTCGGCTCCGAGTTGGCTTGGGTCAAGTTTTCTAGTTCATGTACAGTAGGGAGTCATCAATATTATCGACATATCGATTATTTTGAAACATCGTACAAATATCGCATTGTGTATGTAGAGCATTAACTATTTATATACGTATGGAATATTATAAACTTGCTAATTGCTTGCCAATTATTACAAAATTTATACTCAACATTACAAAATTAAATATTTTTTAGTCAGAAATGCATTGACATTGGCAGATAGCAATATAATTTCTAGTTCGTGTGGCGAGAGTTGTGCCGATAACATAGATATACTTTCGATTTCAATGTATCTTATGTAATTAAATCAGGTGGACAGTAATCCAAAGGCCAAAGCAACCCTGCAAAAGTGCTGCCCATCGCTGTCAAATGGTAACCTAAAAACTTTTGACACGAGGTTGTGCGTGTCTTTTCCTTTCTTTCTCGCTTTTTACTCGAACATGGGTGAGTCGTCGGCTAGTGCAAAATGTGTTAAAATATCAAGAAAATCAAATGTGAAATGCATAAAAATAACATAAAAGGGTGCCCTATCCATGCCTGCTAACAATGCAAATGCAGCATAAATGAGATATATGAAATTTGGCTAAATATTTGTGCAAAAAAGGCAACGGCACCGCATGCTGTGCAATTTTCTTGATATATTTTTGACTACGAATTTGGAGTTTTGATATTTATGTTGTGTGTGTTTTTGCTATGTTTTTAAGGTATTAGCCGTGATAGTTCACATAAGCGTCGCGCCACTGGTGGCAAGCGCAAGTCGCTTCGCAAGAAGCGCAAGTTCGAGTTGGGTCGTCCCGCTGCCAACACCAAGGTGAGTTTTGACCTGCTCCCTCACCATTTGTTGTGCTTTTTATTAAAATAAAATAAAATGATGTTAACGCGTGTCAACTGTAAGCGCACTCGACTTGCTCGTTTGCACACACCTTTGATGATCAAAAAGCATTATGTTCGGACTACTGATTATATTAAAAAAAAAAACTAATTTCGTATAATTTTATCATATTGTGTGTATCGCGCTAACTGTCTGGCAACTCTGTGCTTACAGCTTGGAGGTGCACGCGTTCACTCTGTACGCACCCGAGGTGGCAACACCAAATTGCGCGCTCTGCGCCTGGAAACCGGCAATTTTGCATGGGCTTCAGAGGGTGTTGCACGCAAAACGCGTATCGCCGATGTTGTCTATAATGCCTCCAATAACGAGTTGGTGCGCACCAAGACGCTGGTGAAGAACAGCATCGTGGTCATTGATGCGACGCCATTCCGTCAGTGGTACGAGGCGCATTATGTGCTGCCGCTGGGACGCAAACGTAATCCGAAGCACGCCCAGAAGGAGGATGAGAACGATGTGCTGACCAAGAAGCGCAGCGAGAAGGTCATGAAGAAGTATCTCGAGCGCCAAAAGTTCGGCAAGGTCGAGCAGGCCTTGGAGGATCAGTTCACTTCCGGTCGCATCTTGGGTATGTTTTCAATCCAAATTTATTCTTATTTTATTTTTCGCTGATGTAAAAACTTTAGCGATCCAACTAATTAATTGCGTCAAACTTGTTTTAAGTGCGATGTAAGCCAGTTGGGCGTGAATTTGGCTTGTCATAGTTACTCTGAGATCCCTCCTGCTTAGTGAATGATTTAATTAATTTTGATTATTATTATTTACTAATATTTACCATATTTTCTACTCTCCGTACAGCTTGCATTTCATCCCGCCCTGGTCAATGCGGTCGCTCCGATGGCTACATTCTGGAGGGCAAGGAATTGGAATTCTACCTTAAGAAGATCAAGTCTAAGAAATAAACTAGATAAGACATCCTGCTGCGAACCAACAAACAACTGATTTGCAGAAAAAAAAACAAAACAAATAAAACGGCTTGGTTTTTTATAAGAAGAAACATTACACATTTTACTTCAGTCGTTTTGTGTGTGTTTGTGTTGTGTGCGTGTCGTCCTGCAAATAACTATGTTAAATAGTTAATGATGGATCTTTAATTGGTATTAAAGTGGAATTCATAAATTGATTTAAATTAATTGAATAATTGGTTCTTATCAATGGGCTTTTAAGCCATTGCATTTTATAGCATTAGTTGGCTATGTGTTTTGGTCTAGATATTTTATATATCAACAGTTGGGATGTTTTTAATGCTTTAGAGCTTTTCTTGTCTTTCAACTTTAATATTCTTAACTGGCTTGATTAATATATAGTAATTAACAAAACTATAGCATTTATGTAAATACATAAATGTGTTATTTTATGCTAATGTTTTTCTAATTCTTTAATATTCTCCAAATTAACTTTGTTAATTGGGAACAATGATATGAAAATATTCATTGAGCGAGGGAAACTTGATTTTGAAAAAGGCTTTCTTCAACAAAGGAAACTCAATTTATAAGATACTGCAAATTAAAGAAAGAAGCAAACATTTTGAAACTTGACAATATGTTTAATCGCATATAATCAGATTTATCTACATATCTCATACATATGTATGTATTCTAAGTATGTATAAAGCACATCTATTAATTATTTCTGACTTCAACGATAATATTCTTAACTTTTGTTCAAAAGTTGTTTTTTATTTAATTCGATTAGTAATACCAGTTTAGTAACTATAGAATTTATTTTTACAGAACGGTTATTTTATGCATATGTTTTTTCCGCTTGTTATACAACCTCAAAATTAACTTTGTTAATTGGAATCACTGATATGAGAGCGTAACAAACCTGATAGTTTGATAAAATTAGATGAAATTACAAAAGCCTGAAATGTTTCTTTAAAAAAAAGTAAACTCAATTCAGAAATTAAAGAAAGTATCTATGGATATGGCACAGCAATATATTATTTCTGATTTCTAATATACTCAAGCCATAGAAGATCTTTCGATCAAGTAGCAAATAAAATCAACAGCGAAAAGGAATGAATATGCTTAAATGAAAAATATATTTAAGTATGTATATATATGATGTATATGCACTATATTTTCACTTGTATCTATGCAATGTTGTTGACTTCGTATGGTACAAAATATATGTATGTATATGTGTGTATGTATCCGTAATTAGTTACAGTAGTTTATAGTTTAAATATCATTCGTATTGGTTGGTTGGCTACTATTATATCATAACACAAACGGAGCGAGCTATATGTAATGCCGTGTTTAGTTTAGCACACAGCAGCAAATTCTTAGCGATTGATTTGTACTGCCAGTTACCAATTTTGATTTGCGGGAGACCGAAAAAAATAACAAAGAATTTTTAAAAAGAAATTTCCTAAATAGTGTAGAGCTGGAGCTGCTTGGAGGACGGTGCTCAGTGCTCGAACAGCACCGTCATGAGGCCCATTAGGGCGATGCCAAAGATGAGCGCCAGCAGCTGTTTGACAGACTCCTTGCGATCCTCCTCCTTCAAGAGATCGGGTAATACTGTGACCAAGGAAATGTGCAGGAAACCGCCAGCGGTAAATGGCATAATCCACGATGTGCGCGCCTCTGCAAAAGGAAGAAGATAAGAATGGAATTCAACATTACAGCCTGTTGTCACACTTTGCTTACCCATTGCTGAGGTGACGCCGGAACCACCAATGGCTACCAGAGCGCCCAAGAGACCAGCACCAGCGGTCAGCAGTTGGGCACGCGCTGCATCCCAACGACTGAAGCCGGATCGCAGCAATATGGCAAAATCGCCCACTTCATGTGGAATCTCATGCACTACACAAATTAAGAAATCAATTAGAGATGCTAACTCGCTGATCCTGAATCTGCAGATACTCACGCAATATGGCAAAGGTGGCCAAGACGCCATGCCTGAAGGAAACGAGAAAGGAGCCAGCGACGGCCAGGCCATGTGTAAAATTATCTATGGAATTGGCCAACAGATTCAAATAGCCAGCCACTTTTTTCGTCGGTTCCTTTTTGGTCTGTGCCTTTGTTTCGCGTTCGCGCAAAAAGCACACCTGATCCACATCCTCAATGTCGCAGGCACCACCACAGCTATCCGCTGTGTGTCCCTCGGGCAGCTTGCCGCCATGACGACGCAACAGACAGTTGGCTATTTCCACGCACTTGGGCTGCGGATTCTCCTCATCGGCACTGGTATAGCCTGAAAATATTTTCTCCACAATGGTGAAGCTAAGCAAACCGCCCAGCACCCACAGGCCAGAACCAAACGATGGATGACTATCGGCCTCTGTAAAACGAGTGGTAGTTTTATATATGTTTATTATCTAGAAAAAATCCCACTCGATGGATTACTCACTCTGATTATCGCCCTCCCAGGCCTCGGGGAGTAAATGAAAAAATACATCCCCCAACAGGCCGCCGACGGCAAAACTGAGCATTAGTCGCAAAAACTTGGACTCAGCGGCTGCAAGAAAGAGACAATTATTATATATATATACTAATAATATTTATACTTACGATCTTTATAGCCCTCCTTAGCCATCTTATCGACTGTGGGTATTATGAAGAGCGGAAAGATGCCGCTAAGCCCAATTACAATCGAGCCGAGCAGCGAGAATATCCAAGGCGTGTACTCCATGCTCTTGATATATTCGGGCACATACTGATTGACCACACTCGAGTAGATCAACCCAAAGTGCTCGTCGAAGAAATTTCTGCTGACATTCATCTTGTATTGTGAGTGAGTTTGTCGGCTTCTTCGTCCACTTGCTGATCGTGGTTTATCTCTTCTCCTAACTAAGGGTAATATATGCTAACTATCTTTGGTATTTCGGGCTTTTTGGCTCAGTCAGTGCCTTGGCATGTCCTCCTCCAACTGCAACGCTTGAGCCAATTTAATATGTCTTGTGACTTAACTGTGAATTATAAGAAATTATATAAACATTTTTTTCCAATTTTGTTAATCTTCAGTGAAGTTTTCATGTACTATTTTGATAGTCAACATGCGTCAAAAGTTTGAAGTCGATCAACAACAAATTTCTCCGGCCAGTCGCCCTAGCAACTGTCCATTATATTTGTGATATAATTGAATCGCGTTTGATGTATAAATCCCCGTCCCCCTCTAGAAAACAGACAATGGACGGCGTCAAAGCGGGTACAACAGCCGATAGAGAATCAGCGGTTGACACCGCCAGCACCACCACATCGATAAGCAGACCCAGTGTAAAACTCAAGTATCGACGACTTAAAATTGACTAGATAGCTGTCTAAAAAGTGACAGGTTCCACTAAGCCACAGCCTAAAGATTTTTTGCGAAAAGCTTTGGATGGGGCTTCTGGCATGATAACGATCTATAGATCTATAGATGGCACCTGCTGTTACAATGAATGCACTTAAAGTCTTTTATATGACAATTGTTTTCATCGTAATCGATAATCAGAAAAAACAGAATAGTGAACTCGTCTCTTTTTAAATATTATACGCCTTGCTTTTTAAAAAATTTTTCTTCATTTCGAATTTACGCAATTTTTATTATGCACTTTATTATTTGTATGACTAAAATTTACTCTTAATTTCCATTTCATTTATTATTGCATTACAACTATTGGCAGCAGCGTTCTGATAAGTGTGACTAGCTTTTTTTCCAATTTTTGAATTACTATATAAATTTATGCTTTCTGATAATGACTCAAATATAAATTTATTCCTCACTTTCATATTATTTATAATTGTATTACAACTGTTGGCAGCATCGTTCTGATAAGTATGACTAGCTTTTTTCCATGTATAACTCAAATAGCTACGATTTCTACAATTAAAAGCAATATTTTTTGTAATCAATATTTCGTAATTTGTAAATTTATTGAAGTCCAATATACAAAATGATAGCACATTTTTGTTGATATAGTGTACATATCTATCCATATATTATTTCTTTTCTTCTTAAAAATGACAACACTAAAATTGCCCTTGAATTGCGTTTATCAAGTATTTTCTAATTACAACTGTAAATATGAGTACATAGTAAATCTGATGGCTTTTAGACTTTAAGTAACACTAAGCACTTAAAGCCGAAAAATATATGCGATAACGTGCTCAGCATAAATTAGAATAGATAATTGCAACAGTTTATCAATACATGTGCACGGTATGAATGTTCACATAAACCGAGGGCAATCGATGGATTTTGAAATGCGATGCCCCAATGGTGAAACAAAAAAAAAACAAAAACAAGCGTGTTCCACACTCAAGGAAAACGAGCTGGCAGCAAGCGAAGCAAACCAACCAACCAAAAGCCAACCAAAGCTAAAATTAGCACAAATCTATAAAACTCAGTCAACATACTCGAAATGATAATCGAAATCGAATATTAAAGCGCACTTTTTTTTCTAAGCCGATCTGGCAACACTTTTCGCATCGAAATCCGTTCTCGCTGGCAGACAGCAGGCAACTGAAACGATGGCAAAAAAAAAGTGTTTGAAGTGGTTTTTTTTCTTGCTTAAATCCCGAATAACGAATAAAACACTTCTGATTCCATTGTGACACATTGTGAATTTTCAACAATCAGATGGTGATGCAGCTTAAATTGTACAGCTCTTTTTTTTACGCTATTTCCAGATAAGATACACACAAACACACACACACACACACTTGTATATGGCAATTATGAGTGTGTTCGTTGATATTGCGACTTATGAGCGGCTTTCAGCCAAATCCTTTAGCGGGGGGGTCATTTTAAAGCCGTGTGTCAACTGTTGATAAACAGCGAGAAACGTGACCAACTGACTCGCCCAGTCCGCCATGATTGATAACTCCGCTGGTAGAGAATATCACGTATACGTTGACCAATTCCCAAATTGGCATAGTAAATGCGTCTTCACACACACCCACAACAAAGCAAGAAAGTAGAAACTGTTCTGGTTTTTTTTTAATCTCTTTTTTTTCTTATCTTATAACAAATCAAAAACAGTTTCAAAAGTTGCTCTGATTGATTGTGATTGCTAAGCTAATCAGTGCAGACGCGCCTTGTTTGTTTGTTAGTAAATAAATAATAAATAGAAAGTAAAATAAATGCACTGCTTTCAAATAGACAAAAAAAATGTATATCAGCTGTGCTTCGCTTATCAATAAGAGCAATAGTCAAATTTGCTCAATTCTGGATGAATTTGTCATTTCGAGATACAATTCATACGAAATTCCGTTACGATCACAAAGAAAAGTGAAGAAACTGTTGTAAATTTATTTTGTAAGAAGTATTTTCAGTTTGTGATGAAATCTTTTTAGATTATCCACTTAAAAAATTTGTAATAGTTGCAATTTATGTAATAGTATATATTAATTTGTGTCTAAGTTTTAAAGTTTAGTTATTGATATAAAAACATTTTTTTTTTTGAATATCTATACACTTGTCTAAACAAACCTGGCCCCCATAGAACAAGTTGAACTCGGCTAATACCAGTATTTTTTTTGTCTTGTATTTGATATGTTGTGTTTTTTATTCTTTGTTGTTGTTTTTCTTTCTTGTTCTTGCCTGGGGTTCTTTAACTCGAACACATAAGCGAAAAGCGTAAATCAAAAAGAAATACGCATTGTGATGGAGCAGAGAGAGAGGGGTTCACAATTCTTGATATCAGAAGAGCTGAAATATTTTATGACTGCGTTACGCACACACACACACACACACATGCATAATTACATACACACACACGCATACATACATTTGTACAATACACATTTCAATTATAGAAATTGACACTGACACATACACACACACTGACACACGTACACAAAAGATATAGTACGATTTTTGAGTGAGTTGCGAAAAATTGACAAGTGCCGGTGCTTTGAACTTGATTTGTGGCATCCGTGCACTACTTGTTGTTGCTGCTGTTGTTTATCTCCAAGTGACAAAAATACAATAGAATTCGTTGCCACTCACTTGACTTAGTTGCTGCGCTAATGCGGAAATTTATGCTCTTTACTTTACTTTTAAATAAACACACGTCTTATCGCGCCGGCCACTCGACTCGTTCTGAGGCAGACGATGCTTCGCAGCCGGCTTAAATATGCCAGGCGAATTGTTCTGAGTTGGATATTTGATATCCTATTGGCCAATCAGGTAGCATCATAAGTGTAATGGCAGAGGTCGCCAAATCTGCACGTAGACCAGAGCGGTAACTCGACTTGAACTTGAGTGAAAATTTAGGTGTGCATTTCAATTTCGAGTGAATGACCAAAAATGGTAATATTTTCTTTGAGACAAATATCTGCAAGTCTAGAGTGGTAGTTGAGTCGAGTCGATTCAAGCGGGATTCGAAAATAACAATGACGAAATGATAAGAGGGGAGCGTGTTCGACGATCAGCTGTTCAGTGAATACAAGAGAGAGAGCGAGCATGACTTATCATCAAAGAGAACGAGAGTGAAACGACGCCATCGTTCGCTCTCACTGCAAGCATGACATATGTGCATGCATACACAAACACACGCGCACACACTCATACACACGTCTAGTGCACAACAAAGGAAATTGAAAAACGTTTCGTTTTATAAACTTCTGTCTCACCGTCACCATAACGGCGCAATTACCCTTCGGCTACAACAATAAAAAAAACCCGTTTTATCATTTGTTGTTATCGCTTCGATTGTGGTCAACTGGCTATTCAAGTGGTGCTTGGATCAGAGATTCTCTCTAATAGTAACTTTAGTGCTGTTTGCAAAAATAACAAATATGGCCGATAACTACGTACGTATGTGTGTGTGTGTATGCGTATGCATTAGATGTGGGTGTAGGTTAGTTACACTTCCGCCTTACCGTCAAATTTCTTGTTGCTAGCTGCTGTTTTCTTCCTCTTCTGAATTACACATGTAAACAACAAAACAAAAGTTGTTTGACTTTTGATCACAGACGACGTTACTTTTGTTGTTGCTGCTGGGCTAGTAAAGTATGCAAAATATGCTTAATGCGCAATATCGATCAACGCCTGTTGTTTATTCACGGCCACTAATCTGCACTGAGATTCAGTAACGGAACGTTATTCGAGATGCTTACAAACTTAACGTTTATTTTGTTTCTTATTGTTTACACTTATTGTTCAATTTATTATTGGGGAGTGTGACCCAGTTGTTGAAGCTTCATCAAGTGATGACGCTGAGTCGCGAGCAGTTACAGCTGAAATGAAATAAGTTCGCGTAACAAACGCAGTCTTGTTTTTGTTTTGTGCCGTGCGAAAAAAAAACAAACATGGCTGCACAACAAAACACATGATGTACTCACGCGATATATCGATAACAAGAAGTTGTTACTATAATTATTGGTCACACTGCTTTCAGATTGCATGCAACAGCTGTTTCAGTTGTTTTCTGTGTTTTGTGTCGAGGCTTTGTTTATGTTTTTTATCACAATTCGTGCAATAAAGTTTGATTATTGAAGTGTATTTTGTGTGTGTGGGTGTGTGTGCATGTTTAGTTAGTGCCGCTTGCAATGAGTACGGACGATCTGTTGGTGCGCCATGACAGAAGCGACGATTCGTCGCCATCAACACCAACGCCAGCATCAACATCAACTGCATCAACGCCTGCGCCAAATTCGTCTTTTAATCGCCTGCGCAGCACATTTCGACTCACCGAAAATATCTCCACGCACATTTTCAATCAGATTTCAACGCAATTCTCGAATGCGGCTGCCGCTGCAGCTGCCTCCGAAGTTATCGATGGCACAACCACATATCCCGAGGCGCCACAAACGGTGGCAACAGTCATTGGCACCGCCATACCCAAACGCAAAAAGCCCGGTGAGTTTTTGTGAACCTATAACTATTTTTATATATATTTAGTTTATAAAGAAAAAAGTCTAATTGTTAGTGCAAATAAAGTGTGTGCAAAAGGTATCGCGTGAGCCACCCTAGCGCAAATAAAAGCTTTTGCAAAAGCTGCGCTGCCAAAAGTGTGCTTGACAAATCAATAGCAGAAAGCTTTTCCTGCTTCAGTCTTACTCAACGCGACAACAGGATAACAGCTCGGCGTAATATTTTAAATTATTCAGCACATTTCTTCATCTCTTATTACCATTATTTTGCTGTTGAAATTGCAATTAAACATTTAGCACAGTGCATCGGCTAACAAACAACAAGCAGGTGCAGTTGCAAATTGAAGGAAACAAAAAGAAATATTTTCTTTTACACGTATGTTGTGTTTTTTTTGCACTGTGGAAGTGCTGCTATTAATGCCTTTTTCGGATTATCTATTTTTATCAATTAAAAAAGGAAGTGAGTCACAATGCGTGGTTTAGTGGAGGATGCAAAGAAAACCAAGCTGAGCACGTTTACCAACACTAATAACAATAACAACAACAACAACAATATGGCCAGTAAATCGAAGCTTTTGCTTAATGCAAGCAGCTCGAGAAAAAGCGTCATTAAAACACCAACGCCAGCAACAACAACAACAGGAGCAGGAAAAACAGTAAAAGCCAAAACGACGTCATCAAATGCAATGACAGCAGCAGCAACAACAACAAAGGCAGCAAAAGCACAAAAGGGCCAAAATCCACCCCAACAAGCAATGGCAACAACACCAGCAGCAGCAGCAACAACAACAACAACAATAGCAGCTGCAGTAGCAACAACAACAACAGCATCAATAGCAACAGCAGCACCCACAGCAGCAGCAACAAAAACAGCAACAATTGCAACTGCGCCGCAACAGCAATTGCCGCCGTACAGCAACAGCAACACAATTGCGCTGCCAAAAGCAATGCATGCCAACAACAGCAGCAACAGCGAGGAACTCGCCGGCGGTGTTCAGGACACAATTTATCTGTGCAACTTTCGTGTGTCTGTCGATGGTGAATGGTTGTGCCTCAAGGAGTTGCAGGACATCGATGTGGCCAACGGGCCAAAGACAGTGGGCGGCGGCGCAGCAATGTTAAATGTTGCAAGTGCTACAAGTTCATCTGCTGCTGGTGGTGGCAACAACTATATGCAGCAACGTGCCGCAGTTCATCAGTTTGGGCAGCGCAACAGTGGCAAGCGTTATGCGGGACTTGCCTCGGGCAGCGGCACACTCGAGGATAACGGTATTATGGCAATTGAAAATCTTATCGGGCGTCGTCTGTGCGACGTTGTCGGCTCAAATGCACTTGCAACAGCAGCAGCTGCAGCAGCAGCAGCAGCAACAACAGCGGCGTCACAGCAGCAGCACAAAAATGTCGGCCTCATCGGTGGCACGCTTGCTGATTGGTCGCATCTCTGTACGTTGCTTGCCACTTGCCTCTTGCCTCTTTTCTTTCTCACTCTCTCTCTCTCTCTTTATATCTAAAACCTTCTTTTAATTTTCATGCGTGTTTTATTTGGTTTTGTTTTGCCTTGCACTCGTTATTCGCATCTAAAAATGTAACTGCCACTCTTATGCTATAAACTTTTGATTTTTGTTTCTTTCGACGATCTGGCAACGTCAACAATACAGTTATAATGGGCGCGCTAAGTTGGCTGCGCCTTAATTAACAGTTTATTAAGTGTCTCGAAAGATCAAATTTATGTTTTTGTTTGAAAATCTTTTGCTTCAGTTTCAACACCTTTTTATACACTTTAATTTATTATTATTAACAAATTGTAATTTTTCAAAGAATTTTGGGAGATTAAGGGAGATATCTCTGACACCGCAAATCATATGTATTCTTGATTAGCATGAGTCGATTTGGCAATGTTGGCAATACCGGTTGGATCGAATTACTATATCATATAGCTGTCATAGGAATGAATAGTTGAAAGTCGAGATCTTGTGTAAAAAACTTTTTTTTGTTTAACAAAATATCCGAAGCAAATTTACCCAATATACATATAACTATGCTCCTCACATTTGATCAAAAAATCATTGAAATCCCTATATTATATTGCTCTTTCAGTAAAAATAGTTCGATATTTAAATTCTTGTATCAAATACTTAAGTTGTTTAACAAAAGACAATCTCCTTGCATGAGGATATGAGAACAACAAGATCGGTCTACTATATCATACAGCTTTCATAGAAATAATTGGTTGTTCAAGCCAAACTCAACAGTTATGCGCCATTTTATAACTATGTCAATTCGATTTTATATTACCAATCTGTTGGTTTTGATTTCTGACTATATTCTTTGGCGAATTTTTTGTTAGTATTTTTTTTTTTTAAGCTTTTGGTTGCGACTTTTCTTTTTTTTTTGTAATTGAGAAAAATTCTGCTCTCATTCAGCTGGTTGAAAATTGGCATAGCATAAGCGTGGTAATCTTAGATAATCTTAATTTGGCATGCTTTAGCATTATTATTATTATAATTGTTATATTACACTCTTGCTTTGCACTCATCAGCTTTGTCTGGGCCAGTTTCTTGTGTCGAGTGGCGACTTGTTGTCCAGGCTTATATCAGATTAGGGCAGACGCTGTCATCTTAAACGTACACTGAACTTTATTAAATATATTTCTTACAAAAAAGGAAGAAAAACAATGCAAATGATAAAATAAATCAACAGGAAAATGATGTTCACTTGCTGTCATCATCGTAGGTTACCCAACTCGATTTCGATGTCTTTAGATTAGATAATATTAGAATCAAATAGGATATAGATTATATTACAGTCAACTAACCGCACAGACCCCACTTGACGAGGCAGTTGAGGATAAGGGCTGTGATTTAACTGCCTGCTGATTGTCATTCGGCGACTCGGGTTCTATGCATATCAAAACTGATGATTCGATGCCATTTGGTTTACCTACATCTATAATTTGTCAGTTAAACAAAGATGCAATTTAAGTGTTTGCTACACACCTGAATTCTTCCCTTCCCTATCCACTTCTTCTTCACACATTACACTTGCAGGATTGACCCGATTAATTGTTTGCGCTTTTGGTTCTATGCTGATCAAAACGCTTGATTCACTTGCATTGTTTTTGCCTGTAATTGTGAGTTTGGTTTTAGAAAGCTGCAAACAAAGATTTTGGACTTGAGTACATTGCCACCGAGTGCATTTGCTACACACCTGAACATTGCCCTTCCCCAGCCACATATTTTTCATGCATTCTGCAATCGCTGCTCGCGTTAGTTCTACTTCTGTTCTGTTCCTGTTTTGGAAATATTAATATATTTGGGATAGATTGTGTCAATTTGAGTGGATTGCATTCTGCACACTTACCTCCGTCTCCCTGTGCCGTTCCCTCTCCTGACTCGGGGACAGACCGCCCTCCTGCCTCTTATGCTTAGCAGCCTTCTTATTCTTTTCTTTTGCACGCTCTTTGGCTTCCGACTCCCGATCTTTTGCACGCTGTCGCCCATCTGTTCTACCCTCTGCTGGCTGCTGCTGATGTTTCTGTTCCCGATCTCTGTTTTTATCTCGTGGTTCCGTGCTGGTCGATTGTTGTTTGCCGAGTGCCTGTGCTCGATTTTTCTCGGCTTTTCTATAGTACTCCTCGCGCTTCTCTCGACCCATCCTTATGGGTATGAACTTCCTCTTGAATTGATACCCCAGCGATGAGGTCGATGTCATCGTATCTTCAGACACATTTTCATACTTGCCATCTAGTTGGTCATATTTATCACTAGTTAATATTTTTAAAATATCTTCAGAAGCACTTAAATGTTTGTTATCTTAAGTTTAGATTGAATACTTCATTTTTAATACAAGCTTATATATATTTTTTTGGATATCTTAAGACTCATTTTAGTTTAATATTTTAAGTATATCTTCAGTGGCAGAATGAGATCAAGCGAGGTTATATTTATCACTAGCTAATATTTTGTATATATCTTCAGATACTTGTCACCTAAAGTTTAAAGTGATCATACCAATTGTTAGTGGTTGGTTTATGTTTTCTTATCAATCACTCAGTCAGCGAGATATTTGCTCAAACTTACCAGTTTTTTTGCGTGGCAGCAGCTTCTCCACATCATTGAAGCCGACGGGGCCGCTCAACCGCTGGCTCGGATTGCTGCCTACGAGGCTAATGCCCGGACTTTTCGTGCTCTCATATTTGTTAGATTTCATTTGTGCCTCGGCTCTGAATGTTGATTTCTTATTGACTCTGCGACTGTGGAACAGAGTGTTCCAGCAGCTTCTGTCCGGTTCGGGGATTACTTTCGGCACTGGCGCTGGTTCGCTTACAGTTTTCTCCGAACTGTATTGCTTTTCATTGGAATCAGTCGATTTGGCGACCGTTTTGACCGTTTTCTTCTGCTTTTTGCTACAGTACAGACAACAGCAGATGATCAATAATAATAGGAAAAAGATTATACCCAAAATGGCCGCTGCATATCCCGCATACATTCCACTATTATCTGGACTTGCATCCTCTGCTCCTTGATTATTGTCACTCTCATCTAGCAAAGTGTCGGCTTCGGTTTCGTTTTCATTGTCTTTGGCTGAACGACTATGCTTACGTGGCAACGAGGATTCTTTGGATTCTTGTTTCTTATCGTTCTTCTCCTTGAGCTTGTCCATATCTTTGTCCTTGTCTTTGTCCTTGTCTTTGTCCTTGTTCTTGTTCTTGTCTTTGTTTTTAGTGTCTTTGGGGCCAAGCTTCGGACCCTGATCCCTATTCCCGGTCATACTCATGTCTTCGGGTAACAAATCATAATCATTACTCTCAGTTTTGCACACGGTCTCCTGTTCCGGCACCTCTTCGTCCGACGGCGAATGTGTTAATTTCCTTTTATTGGGCAGAATCAGGGCCTCATAGATCTGTAGAATGCCACCCAGGCCAGGATAGAACATCTCATCCCTATAATGCAACTGGACATTCTCTCTAATCCAGGTGCGCAGCTTCTGATTGTAGATCTTTTGACTCATGCCCTGAAAACGATAACAGTTGCTCAACGTCTTGAAGAATTTGACCAGAATGAAGGCGGACTCCGGCGAACGTAGATTGTAAATGCGCCGATTTTTAAATGGCAAAAATATGTTGGTCAAAAAATTCGAGCTATCCTCCGGCTCCAAGTGCGGCAGCGGCACAATCATCATCTCATCATTATCGGCGGCACCATTCAAACAGTTGTGATCCAAGAGAGCACAACTCGAGGCATCTTTCTCGACACAGCTCGACTCATTGAGATGAATGGGTTTGATGCGCACATTCTTCAGCTGAGCTAGGATATCGGATTCGGGCAATTTCCAGCCATTGCCATTGGTGTTGAGCACCAGTTGACATTGGCGATACAATGCCACCAAACGTTGCACTGTGCACAGATTGAGACGACCCGCATAATAGGAGACTTGTGCCACCGGCACCAGATAATAACGCAAATATCCACCCAATGCATCATAGAAGGCCCTTTGCAGCAGACGTCGTGTCTCCAAATCGGACATCTTTCTCACGACATGATTAACGCTATTGAAGTACTTCATCAGCGTATGGATGACTTCATCGGTGACGAGACTCTGTGGATACGATTTGGGCAGCAGCAGTTCGAAATCCTTGCGAGCGGACAACAATGCAATATCCTCGGTGGAGAAGCAACGCTTTGGATAGCTACCAAAGAGATTGGTGCCCAGAAAGGTGGCCTCCTCGTTGGGGCAATTTTCGGGTTTGATTTTCGTCTGATCTCGCGACGTTGGCTCCCCATCGCCATTGAGTTCGCCCTGTTTGGTCTCCTCGGGCGAGGCAGCCGCATAATATGTGGCCTTAATGCGATCCTCAATGCTGCGCAGCAGTTCGGCACGCTCGAACGGATCCTCGTCCTGTTGTTGCTCCCGATCCTCGTCCAGATCGCGTGCCTGCTGAAAATGTTGCATGGACGAGACCTCTTCGTCATTGGTATTGGCATTTAGCTTGTTGCGATATTGATGCAACTCGGAGCTGAGCATCGATTGCAGCGTCAGCTCGTTCTGAAAGTCATTGGGCACCTCCAGCGTCGACAGATCGATGCTATAGATGGGGCAACCGCCGGGCGCCAGGAACAACAGCAACGAGAACAGCACATAAATGTTCATAATACATCTATTTCTTATTTAATTGTCGCATTGTTTTTGAAGTTAAAAGCTAGGTTGATGGGAACACTTTCAAATTTCCAGATCGATATCTGTCTATAATGTCAGAGACTCCTGTAAAATACTCGATTGCTATTACAAATAATCAAGTGTCTTATGGGATTTGGTATTTATTGTACTCATTTCTTATGTGAGGTCTTTGTTAGAGCCTGAGGATAATCGCCAATGGTTCCTCACCTTGTTATTCAGACAGTTAATTTCTAAAATTGAAGATGAGTCAGGATTTGCATTTCTAGTTTTGAGAAATGTATTTCTTAATCATAGAAAATATTTCTAAAATATAGAGAAGATCACAGGACTTAGGACAAGCCTTACTAATTTTAAGAAAAATGTTTTCTTATATCTTCAAATTATTTCCAAAACAACCACTTTTTAACTGTAGGATTTTGTATTTGTTTGAATACATTCAAATATTCAATCTTATTAGATCTTTTCCGAGCTGCGAAAAACTAATCTTTTCTGATATGGGTCTCATATTAGAGCTTGACCTAGCTGGGCATTTCCCACCTGGCAAGAAGGAGTTAGTTGATTCCTTTTCAGATTTTCACTGGAAGTTCTTTACACACAATTCTTTGTGCACACAGTTTTGCAAGCAAAGATCATAACAACAACAAGAACCACAACAATAATAAAAACGACGTTTACATTGAGTAGTTGCATCCAATAACAAAAAAATGCTGTCGAGGATGCGCTCCAAAAAACTAACACTCCAACTGGGAACCAATCGCTTCTCAATTGCAGCACGTGACACGGCGGAGATTGAACGGAGTAATTTGGTGAATATATGCAAACTGGTTGTCAAGGAGCTGTTGGAGCAATCGTTGCGATATGGACGCATGCTCGACTCGGATCATTTGCCGCTGCAGCATTTCTTTATCGTCATCGAGCATGTGCTCGGCCATGGCCTGAGACCAAAGAAGGGTCTACTGGGACCGCGCAAGGAACTCTGGGATCTGTTGCAGAGTGTCGAGAACTATTGTCCCGAGGCGCAGGATATAACGGCCAGTGTGAGGGATTTGCCCACGGTGCGCACCCACATTGGGCGTGCCCGGGCCTGGCTGAGGATTGCGCTGATGCAGAAGAAGCTGTCGGACTATCTGCAGGCGCTGATCGAACATCGCGAGGACTCCTTGTACGACTACTATGAGCCACAGGCTCTCATGATGAGCGATGAGGTGTGTGTTCCAGCTCAATCTCCATCTCAACTGGGCATCTTCTTCATTAACAAGTGATTATCCCCCCCACATCCGATTCTAGATTGTTGTCATTATGGGCATTCTCGTTGGCCTGAATGTCATCGATTGCAATTTGTGCGTGAAGGAAGAGGATCTCGATTCCCAGCAGGGAGTCATCGATTTTTCGCTCTATTTACGCTCCAGTTCCCGGAATGCTGATGAGGCCAATGAGGAATCGTCGGCCCAAGCAGCTTCAATGGATGCCACCGGACAGGGCAACATGATTGCTGTGCTGGATCAGAAGAACTACATTGAGGAGCTCAATCGGCATTTGAAGTGCGTCGAGCGTAAAAACCGTAAAAAGTGAATTCCGATTCAAGCTTCATTCGTTTTTCACAGCGCCACTGTTGGCAATCTGCAGGCCAAGGTTGAGTCCTTGACCACCACCAATGCTCTGATGAAAGAGGATCTGGCCATCGCTCGCAATAGTCTGCTGGCTCTCCAAGCCGAGAATCAGGCGATGCGACAATCCGCCCGCCAACAGACCCATTCCGACAACAGCTCCACGGGCAGCGCCAGTGACAAGGATAAAGACAAGGACAAGGACAAAACTGATGGCTTAAGCTCCGAGCTTATGGAGGAGCGAAAACGTAGCGCTGAGTTGGACAAAGAGCTCAAGCTGCAGGTGTCGCTCAAGGCGGAATCGGATATGGCTATGAAGCTGCTCGAGAAGGACATCCATGAGAAACAGGATACGATTATCTCACTGAGACGCCAACTCGACGACATCAAACAAATCAATCTCGAAATGTATCGCAAGCTGCAGGTGCGTATTGCCACAAGACACAACAAATACACACCCAAATTAGAGATGGACGCGGACTGTGAATATCGGAAGGATCTAACAGTTCCCTATTACCAGCTTTAGAGTAGAATTAAACAGACATATTAATATTCTGATTGTTGTTGGGATTTGTTAACAGATGTCAAAAACATGACTCGCAAGCTAAAAATTACACACTTTGTCTGTTGTCTGTTGATGTCACCTTTTGGGATCTCTATCCCCAGAACTCAATTAAACCTAGGAAGATGATAAGATGAATCTCTGCAATAATATTTATTAAGCAGAGAAAGCATTTCCGACCACATAAAGTATATATATTCATCATCAGTTTCAAAAGCGAGACGATTTAGTTATATTTGTCTGGCTCTCTGCGACAGATCACAGTTTTGCTAATATCGATACAAATCGATTTTTGATTGCAATAAAATCACTTTAGTAACAATTGGTTAACAGTCAAAATTTAATCAAAGATAAATTGATCATAAGATGAAAAAAGAAACGTAGAACTCACAACTATCCGAATGTCTTTTAGTTCAAATGTTTTTAAATGCTGGATTCAGTGTATCTGCCTCTCGAGCACTCTCGACTAGAGCATTCCAACTATTTCTATTTCAAAATACGACCACATAGTCCGCGTCCAACTCTGCACCCAAATTGAAAAAGAAAACACTAACACAAACACCTAATGAACGACACTGAATCAAAATCCAAACTCATCTGCTCACATTCATCAAGCCACTCATTTCATCGTCAGTCATTTGGTTTATTTCTTTGTCCTTGGTTGCATTTAATTCGACTCAAAAATTCACCATTCCTCGTAAACGCAAATATGGCCTTAATCAAGCTGTTGAAAGAGAGATAAAATCTAAAAGATAACTCCTACTACTACTCCCCCCACTCGTTTGAAATTTGAAATTTAGGAATGTGAAGATGAACTCACACAGAAGGGCGAGATGGTCTCTCGTTTGCAAACGAAAGCCTCACAAATTGGTAACATTTTACAATCGCTAGAAAAGAAATACGACAACAAGCTCCACGAGCACCATCAGCAGCATGCCCAGATGAGCGGAGGCGGAGGCGGCGGGGATCGTTCACCGAATACGCGACGCCAGCAGAATCTGCAAAAGTTTGAGGCAATGACAAAGAAGCAGAAACAGGACACTGGACCGCCCATGAAGCGGCTGCATCTCAAAATGGATGGTATTCCCCCCTTCAATCCCAACAACTATCGCAAGTCGCCGGGTACAGCAGCAGCTCCGAATCCACTCCAGCTGCAGCCAGAGGAGGGAGCAGCACTCAAGACGCCCACATCCGCCAAATCTTTGAATGATGAACTGGCCGAGGCTGCGGCTGCTGTAACGCATCATTTCAAGGGCGGCGGAGATGGTTCACGTAGCGATTACGCTTTGTCCAGCGAACAGGATGCGTCAGGATAAAATCATTAAGTCATTTAGTTTTATTAAACTGTTAAGACGGCATTTACTTGTGTTAATTGAATACACAATATTATTTGTGCTAGATGATTATTGGTGTCTAGAATGGATCTGTGGGCACTAAAAATAACCTTATAAGTACAGTGGTAGCTCGTTAATAAAAACGCTTACGGATTAGATTTCATTTTAGTAAGCAAACAATTTGTCAAAGTCAAATTTTATTTACAACAAAAATTTATTTGAATATAATATTTTTTAAATATTCTAATTTGCAGCACATTTTAAATTGGATTTTTACTAAATAAATCTTTAAATATAAATCAAATAAATTTAAAATTTAAATAACACTGAAATTTCTGTTTTAAGCTTCTCTAAAAAGCAAATCCAAAAAATGTTTCCCACTAAAATAAAATTAAAGTCAAATTCATGAAAATTACGGTATTCATTTTGTAACATTTCGGAAAATACAAATTTGCCGGCATCAACCACTGTACTATATAAAAAAGTTCCCATATCGGTTAACTACATAGCTGTTAAGATAACTGTAACTCAGAGTGCAACTGCTTAACAACATATATATCTATATATTTTAGAACCGATGTTAAATGTACGTTGCCTTCAATACTATATAAATATATAGAGAACCAAAGTCACATGTTATAGCAATATATATATACATATAGTACTCGTATAGCTACAGAAATTTGTTGAAGATTCTCAAAATTATAAGCTGTTAGCTGAATTCTTGCCCGATAATCCCCCCCAAAATAAAGTATTACATCATTATGTGTAAAGAGATGATTTATATATTATATTACAGATCTATGACACTCGAAACGCGTATCGTACTCTCAACTTGCTTGATCGGTATAAAATCTAATTTATACTTATGCCATATACTTAAAAAAAACTAGTTAAAATACTAACAATGTAATTATATAAATATGTATGTATCTATGTATCTATACATGCTAAAGGATGTAGTCCCTTATATACACATATATATATATATATATATATATATATATATATATATATATATATCTCAAAACCAAACCAAAGAAATAAAACTTATCTCAACTCGAGTCTTTCATTTCGGACTAACCCAAGATCTGTGATCATTGTTGTTAAAACAGCTCGTTCAAAAGATTCTTGTATTTGTATCTTTTTTGACAGGATTGCAAAGCATCGCTGACACACAAAACGGAGCTAATGAGCAAGTTAGAATGCCAAAAGGAAGATATGGCCAGCACAATTGAACAATTAGAGAAAAAGTAAGATCGCTGTTAAGTACAAATTGAGATAATTATGATATTTGGGTGTTTTTGTACTTTGAGAGATTTGCGTCGATTTTTAAGGTTTCTAAACAATAGCCCAAATCACTATTAATCCAGCCTTTTACGGATATCTGCACGAAACATGTTCTTAATTCATACGATTGAAAGGTATTTAAATTACTTTTCCAAAAAACCTGGAGAGTTAAATAAAAACTTTAGAAAATGCTCTATGTACAAAATAATAATTGATTGGGTTATATTCAAATTTTCAAGATAGTTTTAGACTCTGATTTTCAGATTCAGTAAAAGAGTAGAGATTTACTAAATGTTAAGATAATAGTTGCATTTATCGATTTTTGACTATTTTTGAAATAGAAAATCAATCTTTACTCTTTGAGTCGAAAATCTTTCTTAAGACAATCGATCGTTTATTGTATAAACAAGATCAGCTAAACGATCAATGTCTAAGAAGGTTTTGAATCTTTTTAATATGGGTTAAATGTTATGAATTTTTTTTTTTTATGTCTATATAAATATTTTCAAATATTGCTCATGCAAATAAATTTTAATTTATCAAGGTTAATAGATAGGTAGATATGATGATAGATTGATCGAACTAATGATAAATAGATTTTACAGCTCAAATTCTTTTTAAAGGCAATAAACTAAAGCAAATATTTATTATTTATTTATTAACATTACTTTTACGGAGCTTTTGAGATTAAAAACTGTGTGATAATAATTAAATATACACACATTAAGAGTAATAATCATTTTCAACGCCCCTAAATAAAAACATGTTTGCCTTTCCACAGATGGACTAGTGATAAGAGCAATTTGGGCGAGATATTGAAGAACACGTCACAAACGATGTCCAGCCAAGTGAGTGCCAGCGAGGAGCGAGCTGCGCGGGCGGAGGCGGAGACGCGCATTGAGCGCGAGTGGCGCGTGTCCTTGCAGGAGAAGGAGCTGAAGCTGAAGGAGAAGATTGCGACACTACAAGCGTGTGTCAAAGAGCTCAACGAGGAGAAGCAGAAGAACGACAAGCTAAAGTTGGATCTGGAAAAAGCGCGCACTCAATGGTCGGAGGCGCAGACGACGCTCGAGGAGCTGGGCATACAGTTGAGTATGAGTAAGCTGAAGATCTCCGAGTTCCAGGACAATGAGCGACGTCAGCAACAGCTGATCTCCGGTTCATCGCAATCTTTGCAAACAATGCCGGAGCCAGTGAGCAGTCCGGGCATTTGGGCGCCCGATTCGATAGCCACACATTGCACTGCCTGCACCCGGGAATTCAATTTGACCCGTCGCAAGCATCATTGTCGCAGTTGTGGCGAAATCTTTTGCAAATCCTGCTCGGAGAATTCGCTGCCCCTGCTCAATGCTCAGGGGCTGCCGGGTCGACCGGTGCGGGTATGCAATGCGTGCTATGCTTCCACTGGTAAATGATCAGCAACTATGCTAATATATATAAATATAAAGTGTATTCATAGTATGTTTGTAGTTATTTACATAATTGATTGTTATAAACACATATTGTTCAGCGTCATATATTTCATGACATTTACGTAGCTGTGCCCTCATACTATTTCCATTTGACTGGGCGTGTGCTTATACATTATATAATAAATATATTTTTATATTCCTATAATTTGAATTGAATGAAGCCTTATTAATAAATATAAAAGGAAATAATTTTCGGGCGATTTTATTTTTAAATTTCAACTGCTGCGCATTTCTACGAGCTGTTAAAATAACACTGTAACTGTTAACTTAACAGCAGATGGGTGGCCCAATGCATGGTTACACTTTGCTGGTATTTTTTTGTGACGTATCGCTTATCGATAGATTTGTGATGCTGAAGCAAATGCAGCCCTACAAAATGGCGGCAATATTTGAATGTTAAGCATATAAATGAAATTTAAGTGTATCTTCGAGATAAGGACATATCCTTAAAGATCTCGAAATAAAACATATGTGGACTTTCGTGGAACATTCATATTCTTACATAACATACCCTAAAACAATTTTCTTTTCTGTACAGACCATACAGCCATCAAAAAAGTATTCTAAATTTAAAATTGTGAAAGCCTTGTCTCTTCTGGGCTGATCTTTCACTTCCCTCTCTTCCATCTTCCTGGAAGACCACCTTGATAACTATAATTCATAAGGCTAAGAGACCAATTAACAGACCTAGTTCATATAGACCCATAAGTTTCAGCTTATACAGCAACATAGTTCAATAATAGTTATGAGAGTTATCATTTATTAATTAATATATGTAGACTTCTCCCCAAAAGCTTCTTCTAATTAAATAATTTTATAAAACTAATTTGGCACTCAACTGTTATCTTATCAACCGACACACACTCATCCCTATTATATTTATATACATTTATGTATACTTGAGCCAGGCCTCAAGTAGACACAAAACTACAACTAGGACGCATAAATGGCTGTCAAATTGTCGGCCATTATGTAATACCAAAGACGTAGTTTTTTAATTAAATCAAATAAAATTCACAGCTGGCAGCCCAAAAAAAAAAACTTTATAAATACGGCCAGCGGCAGTTTTGAAAGTTGTCATTACCATAACACCAGGCAGAGGGAGACAGGGAGAGAGAGAGAGAAGTAGAGAGATAGAGAGAGTGAGTTGAATATAAACCCGATATTTGGCTGGGAACCACGCGCCCTTGTCCCAATGCAGACAGACAGGCATATGTGCAGATTTCAACTAATAACAGTTGCCTCAACGCCCTGTCAAAGGGGCGTTTAAAATGTTTGGTGCCATAACTGAGGGTTAGATAACGAACGGGGTTGGCCAGGGGGAGGGTGGCTTGAAGAGCAGTTGCCCAGAGTGGGCTGGAGTACACAGAGAGAAAAATACAATTACTTAAAACGCACAAAATGAAATTACTAAAGTGAAGTTTTTTGATCTTATATCGAGCATGATTTAATTTAAGTACAAAACCTACAAGGTAAATAAATATAAATCGAGAAAGGAAATTGATATTAAAACCTCGAGTCGGTCTCATATTTCAATCACAAATAACAACTTTTTGAGGTTCCTGGCTTATGAATAATATTTTCGCACGCATTTAAGTCTGGTTTTTAAGTCTGGTTGTGTTTTTTTCTGTGTTTTCCCCAATCCATGCAACAAATGTTATTTGTTGTTACAAATGAATTTAAAAAAATTTTTTGTTTCGTTCCTAAATATTAATTTCAATATGCATTAACAATAGTTTTCATTTTTTATTAATTTACTTTCAAATTTTAAATTTATTACGTTTTCGATCAAAGATTATGTATGCTCATTTTGAATATATCGTTCCGGTCTCTAGTATGATTTAGTTTTATTACGAAATATTTCTCGCAGTGTACTACCCGCTCAACGAAATCGGAAACAGTGTTTGTGCCCAAACAATGGTTCTGAGAGTAGCGAGCGCCGAGCTGAAGGGCGTTGCCTCCTTCAGATATGCCTGATTGTTATTAAAAAATTATTATGTTATTATATGAATTAACAAATCCAGAATTCGAGCGTGTCACATCGAAAGTCAGCAGCGAGCTGCCGATAGAGACTGTTGTGTGACCTTGTTTTGGGCAAATGTGGCCAGCTCAAATTACGAGCATCATAATCTCATCGGACTGCTCGGCTAACGATCCTTGTAAATGGTCTCGTTTGCGTCAAGGGTGTCAGATGATGCTGTGCCGGAATTCGCAATATTGTATTAATGCATGCCTGTGTGTGTGTGTGCGTGTGTGTTTGCTGCTTGAGCCATTTATGTGTCACGACAATTGTTTGAAATCAGAGCTTCCTGCTGACGATTGATTATTCGCAGTGGATTTGAGCTGGGCTCCTCTGGCAAGGAATGCTTTTGGCGTGTGTCAAATGACACAAATGATATTGATACTATACACTGGCATTTGGCAATAATTCGATTACAATTACAAATAAACACGTTAATGGGAAAGAATATATATAAATAGTTTATTGTTCTTCAATTTCTTATCTTATCAGATCTGAATATCCAAAAACCGAACAATAAACTGTGTTAACTGATTGCAATATGCCAGCAACTTAAATACAATTGTTTCTCTATTTTCAAATTTTAGGTTTTCTATAATTTTGCAATGAAACCCTAAGTTTTCAGTTGCGATTCTTGTTTTCCAAAGTGAAATTGGAAGTGAAATACAATGTTTTTTTGTCAACATTTCCACGAAATTCGTTAATTTACAGTTGTTTGATTCTTATTTGCTTGATTAAATATGCCTTATTAAATATGCCATATTTATTTAAAAAAATATATAATTTTAATACAAAATAAAATGATATCAAAAAATGGCACTTATTTTACATTCATAGTTTTATTTTATAATTTATATCAAAGTGATTTTTTTAAAATAGTTTTCATGAGATTTTTAAGTCGTTAAAAATTAATACAATAATTACAATTTTTAATAAAACGATAACAAACAAAATGTTAGATTTTTAGTTACAAGTATTTTAACAATTTAAATTCATGTTCATTTCAAATTCAGTCAATTCAGTTAATAAATCAGAGTCTTCTGAATAGTTTGTGCATATTATTCAACTGTTTTCGCTTTTCCGCATATCAGATCTGCATATGACACCCAGAAAAATCTAACAACTAACAAGAAACTCTGTGAACAGCTAACAATATCGCAAGAGAAAACCCAAAAAAAAAAGTAAAGAAAATGAACACAAAAGTTTCTGTGAACTTTTAACAACATTTTCACGTTTCCTTGAATCTACAGCAAAACGAAGTATTCTGTTCCATTCTGGGTACGTGGAAGACGAAAAATGGCTTCTGACTCCCAGAAAAAAAGCGTTTCCTATTCTTATACATCTACCAGCCTCCCTCCCATCTCCTCGACCTTCCCTAGACTACTCGTATATGATGAGAAAATGTAATTTCATGGCTGGATGAACGACGAAACACGAAATACATGAGAACAGAACAAGAGTTCAAAGTTTCAGCTTGTAGCGAAGCGAAGCTTTCTAGTCGCAGGATATGCTGGCTGGCTCCCTGGCTGGTTCCCTGGGTGGCTGGCTGGCTGGCAAGGACTTTCACAGGACTTGAAAGCGCCGGAAGTTATTTAATGAGATTTTCTTGATGTCAAAGATAAGTCGAAGATTGTTCACAAGTCGCCAACTAAAGAAAGCTGCTTGTAAAACAATATGCAGAAGACAAAAAAAAAAAATAATAATAAAGTAAAATAAACCAAACCAAACATAGAAGCAGGCGCATGGATGGGGTGGATGGGGTGTTGGTGGGCGTTGGGAGGGGGTTTGGCTGAAAAGGATAAGCGCAGGACCGACAATTGTTGCACACACTTGAAATTAAATTAACTTTTTTCTCGCCCCCTGTCCACTTTGGAGTGGCTGCGTCCTCGCTTTGTTTCCAATGCCTGCCACTGACAGTTCTCCAAATGGAAAGCTCGCAAGGAAATGGACGTAGAAGGGAGAGGGTAGTGGAGGGGCTCATAGTAGCGAGGAGGTGTGTGGTTGTGTGCTATCTTTAGCTGCTCTTTGGGTGGCTGTACCCGACGAAAGATCTTTCGAAAATAGAGACAATGTTCATCCTCTTGGCGCGTCTTCGATGATTGCTCAAATATTGTCTTTGGACGCTAAACATAAAACACAAGTTCAACTACGCAACGCACAACAAAAGCAACAACAACAATAACATCAACAACAACAACAAAAGCAACAGCAACAACAATAATAAAAGAGTAGGAAAAAACATAAAACAAACAAATCGCAATTCGGAATGAATGAATGAGGCAATGACGCAAGGAAATCTCATTAGCCGCGTGTCTTCAAGTTTCATTTTTAATTTTGTACAATTTTTGATCTCTCTACACTCGGCAAAAAAATGTCATGCATTTTGTATGTATTTATTTTTCAAGTAGTTTTTGTTTGCCAAGCTTCTTAATACTCTAAACATTCTTTTTATTTTATTTTGCTGATCAAGGTCGAAAATCCTAGATCCTAGATGTAAGGCCTCGAAAATCCAAGATCAGAGAATGGAATTCAAATTTCAGTTGATTCTTTAGTTATTTATTATTGAACAATGTCGAAATTCCTCAATGATATAAGGTTTCGAAGAGGTTGTCGCACATCATAAGCCAGACAACGCTTATGATAATATCGATATTCCTTAAAGATATAAATAAAATAGTATTTTCAATTAAATACAAACAACATTTTTCTATATATATCTCTTCCTTAATGTATGACAGTGTTTATTTCTCCAAGTGTACATACAGTGGCCGCACACGCAAATACACACACATACACACGTACACACACACAAAAAGAGATCTTTGTATACAACTTAATATTTCGGTGGTCTTGATCAAATAATTTTGCGGCCAATGCACGGCAAATATTTGTCAACATTTTAAGGCACTTTTCTTTTGTCTGTCTCTCATTCTCAATCTCAATCTCCGACTCCGTCTCCGTCACCGTTTCAGTAAGTGCCCCAAACCCGCTCGAGCCGTCTGCTCTCTACCCCCCTCCCTTCCCCTCTCTTGTACGAGGGGAAGCATCTGTCACTGTCTCGGCTGCTGAATCAGAAGCAGTTCATTATAACCCTCAACCGGCTGCTCCTCACTTGAGCACTTGAGTCGCATCTTCTACGTCGGAGTCATCAAAAGCAAAGAAACATGGCCAACAGCATGCGGCAAGTAAAGTAGCAATGATCTCTCGCTTTGCGCAGCACTTTGCATTCACCATTCAAGCCAACCTAACTAACTTGGCTACTTGGTTATTTGTCTTACTACACTCTGTGATCTTTGCCAAAGACAACGGACAACATTATGAACTAAACTCATGATCAAGTTTAACTACACAAAGTTGTAATTATGCACGTGTATTGCATTGAATTGATTCTTTTTTAAATGCTGAGATACCCTGTTGAATAGTATTTGTTAGATTCAAGGTATTAAATTCTTAAAGACTTACTAGGCTTAGTTAAAGTTACTAATAGATGGTTAAGCTGAACTATTAGCTGCGCAATTATATTTAATATTCTGTCATTAATATTATTTAATCTTTACTTTCCTTGCCATTATATGCAGAAAAGTAAATAATAAGCAAAATTAATTTTACCACAATTAAAAGAAGTCAAATCTGGCCTTAATGGCTTTATGGGCGCAGCCAGGTATAAGCAGGGGGAGCAATTACCCCCACATCCCAACTTTAAATTAAAATTTATAAAAACAATTTAAATTCAATCACAATTACAGTGGCTACGCCTCTGGGGCTGCCCCTTCTCAAAAGCCTGCTACGCCCCTGAATGGCTACGAAACAGGATCATAAGCAAATTGCAAATGTTTTAGCCGAAAAATTAACGTTCTTTGCAAATAAAAGCAAATAAACAACAAATTGATGAATACATTCAGATTAAAATCAATCATTTGCATTTAAGTTTGTGAATAATTATAAATTCTCAATTCTATGTGTTCGACTCAAAGGAAGACAGCACTTGGGTCATATCAGATTTTAGCCCATAAGATGTCATTCAGTTATTATTTTTTATTATGTTGATTTCGTCTTGTTTTCATTGTTGTTCCGTTTGCTTTTGTTGTTGTTGTTGGTGTTGTATTAGCTACTGGTTACCGATTGTTGTTGATGATGATGATGCCTTGACTCTGCCTGCCTGCCTGCTTGCCTGCTTCTGCTCATGATTATTACGAGCATATTGTTTGTATTGCGGCTATTTCTGCCCCTTTCCCCTCTGCTTGGGAGTCCAGCTCATGCATGAAGAGCGGCGACAGCGGCGGCGTTGATATAATGGACATGTTTCAGCTTTTGTTGGCTGAAGAAGTTGTCACTCAGCGCGGCACAAACTAATTTGCATATTTGGCCCGCAGTAAAAACACACATTTAAAGTGGCCACCCAGCAACAGCGCACATACATATACACATACATACACACACACATATATATATATATATATAAATACATATATATTTAATTATATGTGTATGTGTGCACTTTAAACAAAGTTAAAATACGAGAAATTGCCTCTGCGCAAAAACCAGTAGCAGAAAGAGCAAAAGCAAAAAGCAGCAACAACAAAAACAACAACAAATTCTAGCCATTTACAGTTGCCAAGCTTAACTGACAGGCCACTGTGCGAGCGAGCGACAGACAAAGCAAGAGTGTGAGAGCGAGTGAGCGAGACACTGCTGTGCTCTCTTTATGCTAGTTGTCCTTGTGCCGCTCTCTCACACACACACACACGCATACATGCATGCACTAGGTCTGTTGCTCCTCTCTTCAGTTTTGGAAACTTGTTTCTTTTGGACCAGCTTTCAAATACAACATTGTAGCCGCTTTGTGTTTATATAATGTGTGTGCGTGTGTGTGTGTGTGTGTGTGTGAGTATTGGCTCCGCCTCTGCGCATAGGCGGAGTCTACACGCACACACAGAGAGAGCAACTGCAAAAGTGTTCAACGCGCAACATAGCTGAGAAATAGAGTGCGAGTGAGAGAGAGAGAGAGTGCGTTAAGTGCGCAGAGCTTTTAAAATGTCGCCGCTTCTTGTCGCACACGTTTCTTTAGATTTGTTGTTGCTGCTGCTGCTGGCGGCGTCACCGTCGCCGTCGCAGTTTGTTTCAATTGCAATAATATTGTAACATTCTAATAGGCCACTGAGGCGCCCAGTTGCCACCCTCCCCCACAACAACACCCACCCATTGGCGTCTGTTATATACAAGAGACGTGCAGTTATTCTTTGTCGTTACTGTAACTAGCGAAGCAGCGATTTTCGATATGTTATCGAAACGCACAAAATGGCCGTTGATAAACATGTATCCAGATATGTGTACATATTTTGTACGTTTGCACGAGCAATATTTGAAAGTAAATTACAACTTCTACAAAGTAAAATTCTTCAAAAATTGCATATATTCGGCATTTCTGGTTAGATTTAAAAATAAATATAATAATAAAAAAAAGTATCGTTTCGAGCTAACTTTAACATTTGAACGTCTCTCATTAAAACTAACCTAGCTTGAAACTCATCGAGTAAAATATAAGCTATTCTTATACTTAATTATATTTTATTATTTTCTATATGGTATTTGGTCAGTTATTGGTTCAAGTTGGAGAGGTGAAACCGTTTTTAAAAGTGCAAAAGCCATGAAATAATAAAAGAAAAACGTTTTCAAAAATGTAAATGCAATTGCATTGTATATCGTAGCTTTATTAATAAATATATAATCCAATTATGCGATTGTACAACTTGGCTTATTTACATACTCACGGTCATAAATATGTTTATATAGTTAGGTCAAAATAATAGAGTTAATGTATTGCAAAATGTAATTTCATAGCCCTTTTCTTCGATATATTGATTGATTTTACATCTCTACATATTTCATCCATTTTGTATTTATTTATTTATTTATAACTTATTTATTTAGTATTTAATACTTTATTTGTTTTGTTTTGAGTGTTTTCTGCAATTATGTTGATTGCAACTGGATGTATTATTCCCTAGTTTTTGTTAAGATTAAAGATAATTGAAGGCTTGCATTTCTGTCAGCTGAATTGTACAGTTGCTTTCTAAGAGCTAACGGATTATTTTAACATTTTATCTGTAACCATTTCCCTCGCATTAACAATTTATGATAGTTCATTAAATTTCAAGTCTTTCATTCTTGCTTCGCCTTTGAGTGAACATTTCGTATATTCATAAACAATAAACAATTTCTTTAGACTACCACTTTTATATGCTAAATACAGAAAGCAGCTGCAAATGAAAAGCGAGTGGCAACATGCCAAAAAAAATATTTAAAAAAAAACAAATCCAAAGCAACTTTAACATTCGAGTAGCCAGCAGCAGCTGCTCAAAGCTGGCAGACGAAGCGAGGCTGCAATTGACCTCCTAAGTTTCCCCCTTTTACTGTTGCCCACCTCCACATTTTATACATATGCAACAACCACAAGTTCTGCAACTGCCAACTGTGTCAGTTGTGTCGAGCTGCATTGTGTGTGCGTGTGTGTGTATTGTGTGTGTGTTCGCCTACGCTGCCATGCCAACCAGCGCCGAGGTCGCTTCGCAGCTGAGGAGCAACAACGCTTTTGGTTGGCTGTTCCATAAACCGAAGCTCTCTCACACACACACACATTCACACAAACGCACAGTGCTTAAGCCAAGCAAAAACAAGAACAACAACAGCAAAACAGAAATTGTGAAACAAAAGCAACAAAGAAAATGAAAGAAATCTCAAACAACCACCAGCCAGCAGCTGAGGCAACTGCCTGCAAGCAACACCACCACCACCACCATCACCACCAACACCAACAACACCAACAGCATCCACCGCAGCAGAGCCAACCACACTCGCACCACTGTGCCAGACTGTGTCTGCCGCAGTCGCCGTCGCCGTCGCTGCCCGCCTCGAGTGCACAAATTTGTATACAGTACCAAATTAGATTTTGAAACTTTTTTCTTAATTGCTGAGGCTGCGACGACGCCAACGCCGACGTAGGCAGCCACAAGCACACACACGCGCACAAACACACACACACGCGCACAAAACTGTATTTATTTTGCAACCCTAGGCAGCGTTGCTCTCTTCTTCACTCACTCGCTCTCTCTCTCTCTGTCTCTCGCTCAGTCTCCTGCTCTAAGTGTGTGCGTGTGTGTGTGCGCGGCTTTTGTATTGGTAAATGTTGCCGCTTTGCCGCCATTTGCCTTGAACGCTGTCGCTGCCTGCGGCGCTGGCATCGCTGCTGCTACTGCTTCTGCTACTGCTGCTGCTTTTGCTGCTCCCTTTTGAATTTAGTCCAAGTTGAATCAGTTGCAATCGAATGCTTCATCTGACATGGTCGTCAATGCGCGCGCCGTGATTACCGTGTTAACCGTGACTGTGACTGTGACTGTTACACCAAAGCGTGATTTCCATTGAGAATTGAGCAAAAACAAATAAAATATATATTTACATATCAAACATATATACAAGAAACAAGAAACACCTAATTTTGACAGTGTGTGTTTGTGTGTGTGCGACTGTGTCTGTGTTGGCTCAGCATGAGTTTGCCGTCGGGTGTCGATATGCAGAATCTAATGTCGCAGCATCCGGTTTTGGGCGCCCTGCCGCCCGCCTTCTTTCTGCGCGCCGCCTCGGAGCGTTATCAGCGTACCCCAAAATGCGCCAGGTGTCGCAATCATGGCGTGGTCAGTGTGACTTACCAAATCTTTGACTTTTGCTCAAATTGAAGCTCAATCTGCATAACCTTACCTGTCTAAGTAATTGTAGAGTAGCAGTAGAAATACTAATTGCTTTAATTACTTTTCAACTACTCCTCTAACAAGCCTGTCAAGTACTTAATAATACTCTTAATTAAGTATTTGGAGTAGTTTTAAATTTATCTGCCACTCTTTTCCACACACCTGAAGCTAACATTTTGGCTTACAATTGTATCTTAACTTGATTCATTAACCAATTCATTCGACATGACTAATTTTTTGATCTGCTTCGAGTTTTCTCCGAATATCAGTAACAAATGTTGGATTTATTTGCAACTTGAGTACAACCAGAAATATCAAACTTTTAATTACATATTATAATTTACACATTATTTATTCACAATTTAGGTAAAATTGCTATTCAATAATTTTGATTTATTTATTATTTATTTGCAAGTGAAATAGAATCATAAGTGTTGAATTGTTGAACATAAATTGTATATATTTATTCACAATTTAAATACAACCATAAATTTGTATTCAAGTATTTGTTTTTATGTATAATTTATTTTTTTATTTTATATTGTTTATTATAATTATTGAAATTGCAAAATAATCATAAACTTGACTGCAATGATTAGGAAAAACCCAAATCCAAAATTCCTTACAAAGTTTAGTTATACATTTGAATTTTATCATTTTTTGTTATTCATTATGATCATTATTGTTTATCATTTTTATTTTTTGATATTTACTTAGTAAGTTTTGAGTGAATTGAGACTTCCATGCACAATACTCAGGGACGTACTTCCGTCCTTCAGTTTGATGATTAGTTCAAGCGAAACCAGCTGCGATCTGAAACCACTTTAACTCAACTGCAATTCCAATTCCGATCTTTGACCATTTGCAGGTGAGCGCCTTGAAGGGTCACAAGCGTTATTGCCGCTGGCGGGATTGTGTCTGTGCCAAGTGCACTTTGATAGCGGAACGGCAGCGTGTGATGGCCGCACAGGTGGGTGATGGCCACTGACATTGGCCTGGCCGTAGCCGCATAGTCATCTAATCTGTCAGTTTTCCATGTCCGTTGGCTTTCAGGTGGCGCTGCGACGCCAGCAGGCGCAGGAGGAGAACGAGGCCAGGGAGCTGGGCCTGCTGTACACCTCGGTGCCCGGTTCGGGTCAGGGTCAGCAACAGAATGGCAGCGATAGTGTTACGCCCACCCCGCACAGTCCCACAGCGCCCGGCACTGGTGCTGGCCCGGCACAAAATGGTGTTTTCCATGGCGGTATACCATCACCGCCCAGCGATGGCTACGAGGCAAGCTCCACGCCCAGCCACCAGCAGCAACAGCAACAGCAGCAGCAGCAGCAGCAACAACAGCTACAGCAGCAGCAACTTCATCATCAGCAACAGCAGCAGCAACGCCAGCAGCAGCAGCATTACAATGGCAATGAATCCGACACGGATGGACGCACCCGTTCCGAGCACCTCAGCGTTGGCTTCTCACCCACACGCACCGAGCTGGACGAGAGTCCCGGTAAGTCCCCCTACGTGCCACATCGAGAAGTATGAAATTATTATATTTACGCCTTGCTGCCCGCCATCGCAAACAACAACAATAATGCCCACTTCTGTGTGCAGTCCATGTGTGACATTGCAACCCCTTCCCCTTCCCCTCCCACATTCACACCCACAATTCCCCTTTTTGGTCACATCCTGCTCCAAATGCGCTTCAAAGTCACTCAAGAAAAACTCGCCTGCGAAAAATGTTCCGTTTTCAATTGTGAAAAGCGCAGCGGCGCATAAAGTGCCACACTCCTAGACATGTGTGTGTGTGTGTTTGGGTGTGTTTGGGTGTGTGTGTGTGTGTTTGGGTATATGAGTTGTTGATTTTGAAGTTGTAGGTGTTGTTAACACAAGGGCTTCAGCAGTCAAGGCGTTTAACCTGCACTCTGTAAAACGGCGCATAAACAACGACTTTACTCCAACCCACTCTCTAAAAAGGGCAAACCGCATTTAAAGTTAAGGTGAATGGTAATGGTAAAAATAGCAACAATTAAAGTGAAACCTTATGCTGGAATTTAAGACTCCAATTTCAAAGCACAATTTGCTTAGCTCTCACAGATCAACCCCAACATTTTTGGAACTCAATTGAATACAGTAATTAGAATCATAAATATATGCATATTTAAAAACTTTTGTCTGGTTGGGTGAAGAGCATATTCTAGGTAATATACAATTTCTTCCTTTTTGCATCTTAAAGATTTGCCAAGAATATTTTAAGCAGTTTCGTTTATTTCTAAAGCACAAAGTTAGCTGATTTCTTTCTACTCCAAGAATATTTAAATTAATCTTTAATGTTCTTAAAACTTCGATTATTTGATTATTTTTACATTTTTTTTTTATTCCATATTTATATTATTATGTGATAGGTGACCTGGAGTCAGCTAAAGACATCTATAAAATATATCTTACTCATAAGACTGTCCTCATTTTTAATTTATAAGTTTTTAACTCAACTTCAGACATATTTTAGGCAAAATCTGAGTCGTAAAACTAGAATTTTCCTCATAGCTCTCAATCTTTAAATTATTTATTTTCCAAAGAAAAATAAAGAAATAAATGTAAATAAATTGAGCAGTTCCTTTACCTTCTTGTGTAACATATATGTATATTTATCAATCCCAAATAGTTCTTTAATTCTATGCCGATTATGGCTATGTTTTATTATGTTTCTCAGGAATATTGTGTTTTAATGGAACTTAAGTTTAACTTAAGTTTCGTAACATAATTTTGAATTCTGACAATCCTAATTTTCACACAGAGTGCAAAAGTATGAAATATTTTGTCGTGTTTGAAGAAATACTATAAAAATAACATTTTAATGGATACAGAGAAATACAAATAATAACAGAAACAATAACTAATCTAAAATAAAAGTACTTAAATCTTCTTACAACCCCTTTTCATATGCAAAGTTACTTTATTTCTCAATGCACATTTTTATTAGTATTATTTAAGTGGTTCTCATTTTGGTTGCCCTATATAAGTAATTGAACATGTGAATAACTAAATAATATAATTGCCAAATTGATTTATCAATCTTATTTCGACTTGCTTATTCACATATTTCCACTTAAATTTTCAACTTTTATTCAATCTCATCAATGCATTTTCATTAGGCATACAAAGCAACATCTAAAATCATTCAAAGTAAAACCAATATCTTATCGATCGCTGAAGCGTTTTAATAATACAATTAAAGGCAACATTATCCGACACAATAGCCATATTAGCATTCAGCTTATATACCCATAAGAATCAGTATTATAACCCCCAGTCAAAAAGGGGGCACGTCAACAGTTACAAAGTCCTTGGAATAGATACTTCGGCACTCCATTTGAGTGCTAATTTGGAACGTTGCTTATATCGTCAGGTTGTAAGACAATTCCAAACTGAGGGCGTAATGCGAGACTCTCTGTAGTCCCTTTTAAGATATGTTTGTTGTTTCTTCTTCATGCTGGTTGTTTCGAGAAAGGAAAACACACAAGGATTCTCACGCGAATCAATCGAACCTGTCCCATTTAAGTACTACACTCCTTATTTGCACTGAAATCCAAGACGATTTCATGCATGAAATGAGGAAAAAACAATAATAAAAAAAAAAACAAAACAACAATTCGAAACAGCAGCGCCAGGTGAACAGTGGCATGTGGAATGTAGTGTAGAGTTTAAGGGTACGGGGTTAGCGGGGGGCGAGGGGTTCACAAATCGACAGGGCGCAACTTAATTAAATTTTCACTGCGGCTTCGTCAACTGCCAAATCAAATACAAAAAAATATCATATAACTTGTTTCACTTCTACAGCACAGGTTGCATCCCCGGTTGCCATGTCAACGAACCCTGCCCTCCCTACAATCCATCCTCATCCTCATCGTCATCCTCATCTCCACTCCCAACTCTGACTTGAACTTGTGTTTGCGATTCCCGTGATTACATTTTTTTTTTCTTGATTTTCTTTTCTGATTTTTGTTTTATTTGTTTGCCGTTTTTCTCGTCGCACAATTCGATACTTTTATTTGTTGTGTGGAAAACCACACAGAGTTTCCCACAGCTACCTGACTGATCTGTACACTTGGAGAAAAACTTATTCTGAATATAAATATCAAATTGTATATCGTCCTTAGGAGCTATCAAAATATATCCACAATTCGTTAAACCTTTTTGAAATAAGAAATTTGTTGAAAGGTGATAAAATTTGTGTTTTACTTCAATTGAAAATTATCTAAATGTTTGTTTTCCGAGTGTAATCTGCAACCTGCCTGTGTTTTTTGTGCTCTTTGCAGTTTCCAAACGTGGTGCTGCTCACTCGAATGAAACAGATCAGGATACGGGCTCCGAGTGCGGTTCACCCAGCAGTCCCCGGCCCAAGGTGGCTGGTTTGTTTAATCTGACGTCCAGTTTGTCGCCGGCACGCACCGGACCGCCCAGTTCGCCGGAATCGGATTTGGATGTGGATTCGGCACCGGATGAGGCAACGCCGGAGAACTTGAGCCTGAAGAAGGAGGACAGCAACTCGCCGCCAAATACACCCGCCGAGAATCTGCATCTGTTGCGCTCCTTTGGCAATGGGCATGCCCAGGGCTTTATGCCCTATCATCATACACAGTTCCTGGCCGCCGCCGGGCTGCCCACCCATCATCCGGCAGCGCAGGCGCAGTCGCTGCAGCAACAGCAGCAGCAACAACTTTTGGGGCAGCATGTTCAGCATCAGCAGCAGCAGCGATCCCCCATCGATGTGCTGATGCGTGTGTTTCCCAATCGGCGACGCAGCGATGTGGAGCAGCTGATGCAGCGCTTTCGCGGCGATGTCCTCCAGGCCATGGAGTGCATGCTCGCTGGCGAGGATTTGACGCAGACACCGCCGCCGCCGGCATCGTCGGCCCATTCGGTGCCCCCCTCGCCGCCATTCCCCATGAAGTCCGCCTTCTCGCCACTGGTGCCGCCCGCTGTGTTCGGTTCCCCCACCCATCCGCATCGCTATCATCCTTTCATGCAGGCGCATGCCAAGCGTTTCCTTTCTGCCCCCTATGCTGGCACAGGATATCTGCCGGGAGTGTTGAGCAGCGCGGATATCGATCAATCCGAGTCGAATGGTGCTGGTGGCATTGCCATGGACCGGAGTAGTAATGCCGGCGATTCCCAGGATTGAGGCTTGGTCGTCTTCCGGCCCTTTGAGACGTCATAGCTCAAGCATCCCCAGTGGCTCCAGTGGTTCCAGTGGCTCCAGTGTAAACATTGTTTATTTTTAGGCAAATCACAGTAGAATTGATTTTTCTTTAGTTCGTAAGATTGTAACACTGGCTATATATATATATATACATATATATATATATATCCTAAAGCCCATATATAACCCACCCACATATATCCAGAACAGATCTGCATAACTGTAAATTGTATCTGCGACATGTTTATCACTCGGCAAGTATTTGTATTATACGTTAAGAGCTCTAAGATACTACGTTTAGATATATTATTATTATTGAGATTATTGTGTAAAGAATCATATATACCGATTGAGATACCTATGTATATGTACCATATACTTATATATCGTACCATGTATTAGATAATACATTTCAAACACTGTGTTAAAGTATTTAATAAATTAAAAAAAAAAACAACATCCAATTCTATAAATCGTTTGAATTAGTTTTTGTTTGTATAAACCTTAACTATTGGGAAATTGCAAAAACCAGAAAAATAAACGTCATTTTCAGATTAAAGAACACTTTATTTGCATGCAGAGGTTGTTTATATATATGAGACATATCTCTATATCATAACGATACTATTATATCTTCATTTTCTTTTGCTGATATCTTTAGCAAACTCAGTTGGTATTAACATTGGTCTACTAATTCATATAGCTTCCAAACTAAGAATCGATTGGTTTTCATTGGCTTGTAAATCTCACAATTTTAATTGAGAATGTAGTTTCCAAATTACAATATTATGGGATTAGATTCTAGTTAGTTTTGTTATGTTGTTGTTATGGTCTATGCAAATATGATTACTTCCATGAATCATGAACTAATTGCAAGTCAGGCTTGTTGCAGTCTTCGGTACTGGATGTCCTGCCACTTTTGGCTTTCCTTTTTTACGCTCCATCTTCAGCAACCAATTTAAAATGATTAGAAGAACTGAGGTAAACTACACACAGTAAGCCGATTCTTCTGCCAGTGTTCAATCTCTCAGCCTCAAGAGGAACTGAGCAACTGAACAACCTCTGAGAATCTGCAATACTTTCGCTAATTGACATCGGACATCCTCAAGGTTTTACAGCCTGCCAGCTGCTGCAGTGATTTTACGGAGATGTCCTTGTGGCCATGGAGAGCATTCGTCAGACTAGGATTCCACATAGTTGCCATCATCTTCAATCCAAATTCAGTTGAGCATTGTCAATTGCACGGAGATTTTTGGCTTTTTCAAACACAGCTTAATGTTGTATTTAATCTGATTATTTCCTTTTTAGATAAGTAGTTTATTATTTATTAAATTAGTTATATAAACGTAGTATAATATTATGCTGTAACAATAATAAATATAGTATGTATTCATTTTTAAAGGGAATCGTTGTTTTTCACATTTTTTTCTTTACTTATTTTATTTATTTTTTAATAATGTGTACAGAATATAATATAACTTATGATTACCCCTTGCCAAAAATCGTTTAACTACCAATGCTTACAAATAATGTGTGTCTAAACTTGCTGTTTTATTAAATGTTTAATTAAAAATTAAAAAATGTTGCCTTTCCTATAAGAGTAACTGAGTTGCCATATTATAGCTTTGAATCGCAATTCAATTGGAAATCCTAATGAATCATTTATTAATCCCATCATTACGAATTGTGGGAAATGTTGCCAAAAATGCCAACAATTTCTAATATCAAAAAGTTTTCCAATTCGACGCCGGTCAATGACAATTATGGGCATCTAATGCGATGTGATGCTGTCTATATGCGAAGGCGTTAAGCCCTATCAAATTTATCTATTCGCCACTATATTGTTTATTATCGAAAACTAATGGCACACGCCGCACAACACACAACACACGCCGCACAACACACAACGCACAACACACAAAACACTTACATGAAAACTGTGTGCGGCAAATGGAAAAGTGTGAAATCCTTTTTCACACAAAATTTTGTTTTTGACTTGTTTGCTTTGCGGACACACACGACACACAGACGGACAGACAGACATAGATAAATTATAATAAAACTATTGGCCACACAGGGGATTAAGAGTGGGACCGGGGGTCAGGGGGTCAGTCGCAGGGCTGTGGAAATGACCAGCATGATGAGGCATTTGAGTTATTTTACAATGGCTGAAGGACCAAAGGCAGGACAATAATATCGGTTACACGCATGCCGTAGTGCAAATTACAAAACTATTTGCGGACATGCGAAATGAATGGCGAATGGATAACAGAATTAAATTATTGGATATCAATTTGTCCGAATAGGTTGTTCTGTGGCATTGTGCGGCAACTCGAAAAGTCAACAACAACAACGACAACAACAGCAACAAAAGCAAACAGAACACAACAGCAGAGTACTCTTTGTGTGTGTGTGTGTGTGTGAGTGTGTGTGTGTGTGAGTGTGTGTGTGTGTGAGTGTGAGTGTTCAGGGGCATACAATGCGCTGGCTCTATGGGCACCATTGTCAGTGCCTAACAATGACGGGGTGGTCTAATTCCAAAACCACAGATCAACCACCGCCCGACTGGACAATAGGCAACTACCAGCAACTACACTGAGAAAAAAGAACAACAAGTAATTCGTAAGTAAAACAGTAGCTTGCATTATTAAATCGTTCAGAATCATACTGCAGTAATATATTATGACATAAACACAAATCTTAAAAGCTAAACTTGGTTTCAGAAATTATAGATTTTCCCCCATAATTCTCTAAACGGATCTATAATATCTTAAGTGATGCTGTTATGTATCTCGTGATGCATTCACAAATATTTCAAATATATAAATATATTAATCTAAGAAACATTGTGAGTGCTACTTGGAATCCACAAAGACTTAAACGTATCTTATTGAAGAGATGCAATTACGAAGACGAACTTGTAAATTTGTGTAATATTTGTAGTTGCAAGAATAGTTTTTGAGAATTGATTTAATCATATCTACGATGTTTTTTTCTGTGTAACAGTTACCCTGGTGGCTTCCTGGTGGCCTGCCTGGGCAGCGTTTAGTCAGTCAGTCAGTTGGGCTGCCGCTTGCGCTTGTTATTGTCAATGGACGAGCTGTCGATAATATCTTAGAGTAGCGTTCCATGTTGGCCAACAAACAACACAATGGAGGCAAGGCAGTTGAGGCAGTCGAGGCAGTCGAGGCCGTTGAGGCAACATGCATGTGTGCTCTGCTCCGGTAGTGCCACACAAATTGCATACAATGTCAGGAGGCAAGGAGCTGCTGCTGTATAATGGACAATGAATTAATAGCAGGCGATTACGCCAACTGAAGCCAAACAAACAACAAACAAACCAACCAGCCAACCAACAAACAAAACGAGCCAGCCAACAAATAGATATTTAGATACGATAGATTGCTATAGATATATGCAGGATAACTGGCATGGGTTGGATTGTGTCCTCGGGGCTGCAGATGCCACACGGGCTCTTGTGGCTTTCCATAAGTGCCGTCAATTAGAACTCAGCCAAAACTCACTCGCCTCTCGCTCCTTCAAGAATTGGCACATGGCTAGTAGAACCCTTGCCAATAAAAAAGAAAAGGGTTACTTAACAGCTTAAATGCCCAGACATATGTTTTTTTTTCGGAATATAAACGAGGGTGGTCCTCGGGGCAGCAGCCGTATTTTTTCTACTACTTGGCATTAGTTTCATTTATTTGTTATTATTTGCTTTGCCAGATTTCAAATGCATTCGTTTTTTTTTCACTTCCCCCTACCCCAACCCCAACCCCAACCCCTCTCTTGTTTTTACAAGACAAACATTAGAGATACAGGCGGCTCGGATTGGGATTGGGATTGGGTAACCCAATCTGCGGCTTGTCAAGCAATGGGTCATAAGGCTACATAGCAACTAATTTGGCAGGTTCCCCAACCAACTCCGTCTTTTTCTGTTTTTTTGGTGTGTTGTTTTTCCAACACGCAGACAGACAGACAGACAGAAAGACAGACAGAAGAGAGGGAGATGAATACAACCATGAAAAGACAACAAATGCCATTTCAAGTAGCAAACGTGTAAAGTAGGTGGCCCAGACCTTTTGCCACAACAAGAGACACCGCCATCGGTTCACAGTGGTTATGCCAAGATCAAAAAATATTGTAAGCAATAGAAAATGACGAGTAATGCTATAATAATTTACTAGAAGAGTAGATTTGAATACAACTTATAAGGAAGTATTATAATTTGAAGGAGTCGAGTCACTAGATGAGTCCATATAGCCATGTCCGTCTGTCTTTCTGTCTATATGACTTTCTATCAGCGAAACAGAGGTATCGGAAAACGATTGCTTGAAAGATGAGTTCTTGAATAAAAAACTATTTAGTTCAACAAATAATCCTAACTAAGCTTAGCAGTCATGCCTGCTATTATGCTGCTCACATCTAAAACTCATTCAGATCGGACTAATATATCATATAGCTGTCATAGGAATGAATGGTCGTTTTATTGAATGTATTGAATTATTCAGATCAAAGCAATTTGACTTTGGTCTGAAAGAAAATAAGAAATAAATTTAAAGTCTCAACTTAATGAGAGAGCAAATTTGAATCCCAAAAAAAACGTATAAATTATATTATATTTATCACAGGCTTACCAGTAATTATAAAATTCAAATTAATTAAATTCTTTAATTAATTAAACTACATTAATTAAATTATTGATAGTGAAAAACGAATAACTAAAATGCATCTGACTGAGGAATGATTATGTGCAACATACTTGTTTATTATGATGATTTGATGATTCAATATTGAATCAAAAGTTATCAAATTTCCTTCAAATGTAACTTTTTCTGTATTTCTGCCCACTGTGCGACGTCAATGAGGCTAGTTCAGTCGGCTAATAAGCCAAGTGTTCACAGTCGACACACATAGAAGCAGAAACCTGGCTGCCTGTTGAGCAACTAACGCGATGAGAAATCAATTTTGATGCCGCCCAAGCAGACACCAGATGATATCGCCCATCCATCCATACATCCATCCATACATCCATCCATACATCCATCCATCCATCCAAACAGATAGTACTACTCGCATATGATTTAATACAGTAGCTGGGCTAATGGCAGTGTTCACCCTGCTTCTGTTCTTTGATGCACTCAGTTGCCGTTCGTTTTGTTTACACAAATATTCATAATTTACATATTGTTTTCTTTTTATTTTTTATTTGTGTTGTCTTTCAAATGATTTTTTACATTTGCTTGTGTTGCTTTCTTTTCGAGGGGGGAACCAAGAGAGAGAGAGAGAGAGTGAGAGTGAGAGGGGGAGGGGCAGGGGAGCTGCTTTCTTCTTTTATCAAAGCCGACGCGTCACTTTGATTATTGAATGCATGTAGCATCAAT